AAAGAAAGATGTCAAGACATATTTCAATATTACGAAGAAAACGAAGAAGAGGTGGAAATAAAAGATATCATAGAAAACTTCATTAAATCAAAGAATCCATCTTTCAATCCAACGGATATAAAAGTTTTTCTTACGAAAAATATTAATGATCTAGACTTGTCTAATATTGATAGCAATCGAAAGAACTTAATATTGTTTGACGACTGCGTAGCGCAAAGAAATCAAACTGTTCAACAAGAATTCTTCACCAAAGGAAGACATCACAACTGTCACTGCATATACCAATCCCAATCTTTTTACGGGATGGATTCTATGTTCATTAGAAAAAATGCAAATTGTTTTTTATTATTTGAATTAAACGATAAAGATTTATCTCAAATCATTCAGTCTATAAATCACGGAATGGATAGAGATACATTTAAAAAGGTTTGTAAAGCTCAATGGAGAAACCCAGATGATCATGGATATGTATTTGTAAATACTAGAAAACCTGCGGGAGAAAGAGTTATGATCGATATAAATTTATGTTAATTTTATTTTTTTAAAAATGACGGATTGGAATAATTTTTTAAAAAGAAATAGAGATTATATCAAAGCTAAGAATAAAATAAAGACCCAAGTTGAAAATAACAGATTACAACAACTCGGATTAACGGAAAATCTACAGACTCTATTTCAACCCATATTAAAAAGTCAAGAAGATATTAAAAAGAGACTCGCTATAGAACTCACGTCTCCTATAGAACCCAAACCGATTGAATATAATGGTATTATAATTAGGACATTAGATGATATAAAACGTCTTTTTTCAAACCCTGACCCAGATTTACCAAAGAGCATTTCACCAATCGTTGATAATCAAGGTTTATTGTTTAATGGATTTAGAATTATATTTAGTTCAAATTCACCACAATTCAAAATCGACACAAAAGACTTTATATTTACATTAACGAGAGGGTTAATAGATTTAATGAATGGCAAGGATATTATTCCCATTGCCGATTACAAGGATTTAGTAGCATACTCAAAATTTCTAGATGCAATAAGAAAGTCGGGACCCGAAACAAGAAGATCGAAAGAAGTTAAACTATATAAAAGAGTAATTGAACGTGATGAAGAGGAATCAGATGATTATGCAGAAGATTATCCACCAATCATACAAGAAATAGACGAATTCGATGATATGGTGGCATCTGGACAAGGTATAACGTTTTTATCCGACGACAATAAAGAATTGCTTAATAGATTAGAAATAATATTAGCGGCCATGAAGGAAGGTCATCGATCGGACAGACAATACAACGAAGTCAATGCCATATTAAAACGGCTTTTGGAGAAAGAAATCATCACTAAAAAAGACTATATAAACGTCATCAAAAATGTCCAATAAAGAACAATTGTTCGTTATCACCTCGAATAAACCAGACATCAAATTGTCTCTAGACTACGAGTATGAACTCGATCGCAATAAACAGTACGAACTGGGATTAAAGTATTTCTCCGTTTACAATTCCATTAGAAACATCAACGAAAAAAACAATCAACTAAAAATATCGACGGATAACGGAGCTACGTTCGAAACCATAAGCTTACTACCGGGGAGCTACGAATACGTAGCCATCAACGATTACCTATCCGAATACGCAGGAAGCGTGAACGGCAAAAACAATATCGAATTCGAAGGTAATTTGAATCTGAACAAAATAAAACTGATCTTGAGAAATAACAGTCAAGTCGATTTCAACGTAGAAAAATTCGTTGAATGCGTTACTAGGGTTCGATAAACGAATATACGCGCAATCGACATTGGCGCCGCACAAGGCCAACATCGAGAACGATATCGACGTGATCAACATTCACCGTAATTTGATCAACGGTGGATTTTTCAACAAGCACAAACGCCAAATCATATACAGCATACCGACTTTTACGGTGCCGATCTGATACAGAATTATAGAGAAACCGTTTCAAACGACCTATTTACCAGTCAATTCTTTCATGATCAAAGATATAAATCTGGAAATCAATGACGGTAAAAACAGGTTCATAGACTTTGGCAACGAAGAAATTGTCATTCAACTTCATTTAAAACAATCTTCATTCTCTTCTTGATTAGAAAGATAATCGAAATCATCAAATTCATAGTTTTCGTCAAAACTATACTCATCTTTGTCGTTGTAAGGATACATAATTCCTTCACTGTTTGGTGGTTTTCTTTTAACATTATTCAAATAACTTCTAAAAACTTTAGTTTGTTTATCATTTGGAATAACTACTCCATTGGTGAAACTTTTTTCCCACGGTTTATTAAATTCGTTCGACACATCATGTCCGCTTGCTAACTGAACGTAATCTTCTACACTTATCTTATCATTAGAATAACCTTCAGAAGTCAAAACGATGTTGTATTTGACTTTTGGTGCTAAATATAAACCAAATATAATTCCACCGTCACCGTAATCGTTTTTACCTTTGCAATATTCTTTTTCGGAGACCAAACCAGCTCTGTTTAGTTTTTTCCAATTTTTAGATGAAATGTACAAACTATCGGTGTCGGTATAGTATATTTCGGGTTTATAAAATCCATTTATGACGTGAATGAAATTGTTCATTATTTTTTTACTGTGAGATAAAACGAATGATCCCAAATGACTAGGTGTTAGTCGTGTAGATTTACTGTCTTCGGTAGTAATCTCTTTTTCTTCAATTTCCGTTTCAACAATATATTTAGTATCATTAATTTTCTCATAGGTTTTAACTCGTGAATCAAAGTTGGCCTGTAAAGTTGCTTCATTCCATAAATGTCTAGTTGTGAATATGTCTTTCTGAATTGATTTACCATACAAGGAATTACCTAATAATTTCATGCAATTACTACCCACGATATTACCTTCTTGTTTATATTTATTTCTTAAATCTCTCAAAATTAAAATATAATCTCTATAGGGTGGAGTTTTAAAATTTTCTTCGTAAACTATAACATCTAATATTCTAATAATTCGTCCACCGGCTTTCACTATTTCTTGAATATCGACCGATGTTAAAACGTCGTGACAGAAACCATTTCTGAACCTGATTTTGTTACCAGTTTCCTTTTTACCTTCTTTATTCGTGAAAGTGATTTTATCTTTAGCTGGTATCGGTTGGAAGAACATGTTTTTGGGATAGTCAAACCACACTGTTAAAATAGCTGTTCTAGGTCTGAATTTTTGTTTATTGAAGAGTTTTACAAATTCTTTTTCTTCTTCTGGTAGAAACGGTCTTCCACTTTCGGCTCTCAGATATTCACTGTCTAAATCCGACATGGCGGAAGCGTATAAACCATAAGCATCAAATGCCATTAGTTTAGTACATTCTATTTTTTTAGGTCTCGAATGAACTTCCGTTTTGTCTTTTGTGCTTGCGCTGTATTCTTTGAATAAATCAATTATGTTATTACTTTCACTTTGTGAAATATATTCCTTTAATACGTTACAAATTTCATCCATTTTGTTCGTTTCAAATGATTTTCTATTTGCCGAAACTCTTCCTCCTTTAATAGATCGTCTGATAAAATTTCTTATAAAAGGATTTGTGTGCGAATAAACTTTTTCTATATTTTCTTTTTCGGTATGTTTCGCAACCATTCTAGTAGTTTCATACCATTCTTCTTCCACCATTTCTTTATCGTAATGATATAAATAATACCAACCCTTTAAAGATAAAGATGGAGCCGTTAGATTATTGGACATATTCTGGTTTACAACTTCTTTCGTGACTTGGTTGTATTTTTCAAACAAGCTCCCAAACAGAGAGTGTCTCTCTTGGCGTAAGGTTCCCATTCGTGTCTCAATTCCTCCCAGTTGTCTTGCGTGTATTTAGCGATATCTACGTCGGCAATCTTTCTCAAATTCGCGGGGAGATTGGAAGAATTTCCCCATGCAGCCAAACTAGAGGATTCGTGTTGATAGGAACACGTGAAATTAATATGTTGTAAATAATTACCCTTTATTTCTTTCTGTCTTTTCCATTTTTTTCTGTAAATCTTCATCCGTGTATGGATTAGATAAAGGAAAAGATAGAATTCCTCTGGGTGTTTTTAAAGGGCAATGCGTTAGTTTTTTGGCATTTTTAAGCACGATCCAGTTGTCGAATCCACTGCCGTTATGAGAAATGAATATTAATCTCTTTCTATCATATTGACCTAAATATTTCAACATTTGATCGATGCAATCTGTACCTACAAATATTTCTACTACATTCATTAGTTTATCATAAAATTCTTCTGGAAGGGGATCTGATGACTTTAAATCTGGAAACATTTTCCTTAGTTTTCTGAATTAATTAAAGTGCAGGCATAAGGAATTGCTCTTCGCGTGTCTTTTTCTGAATACGTTTCGCAATCCCAAGCGAAAAACGCATCATCACTCATACTCGAAAGCACGTTTAGTTTGAGAGGTGAAACCTGTGTTACTGCGTTGTCGTCTCTACACGTTTTCCACACCTGTTCGTAATTGCCTTCTATTTCTTGAATTCCCAAACTTTTTTGGCTTTTTCTAATCAAACAGAAATGCGAGTTGTGTAAGTACAAAACCCAATCTAATTCATCGTGAACGTCTCTGGGGTGAAAATGTCTGTTTTTGGGATTATAAATTTGAAACGAAGTGTTAAATTTCTTGTTGAATTCATTCATTCTAGCACAAGTCATCACTCCTTTTCTATTTGCTTTTGAAAACCCGTTGATGTATTCTTGAAATTTACACGTTAAATCTTTGTTCAAAACACGATTGACGCATTTGATAAAACAGTGACCATCTGTAGGTATGTAACACTTTTCACCTTCGTATTCATTGATCTTTTTAAGCAGATCAGTTCCTCCTCTGCCAACTCTCGATCTTTGTATTTCTTGGAAATTGTCTTTCATTAAAATTATTTTTCCTGTAAAATACCAATCGGAAGTATCGGATTTTTTGTCCATATTTGAAAAGATATTGTGAAAAGTTTTGGCATTGAAACCGAGGAGTGACATGTATTGTCTGTGATTCCCTTCCTCGACTATCTCTCCATCTATTTTAATTTGTCCTTTGAATGTTTTAAATTTATCAGAGATAGCCTTGATAACATCGGAAAATAGGGCGTTTTCTATCAATGTTTCATCAAGTTCGATTTTATTCATATTTTTTTAAGTGTATATTTTTGATTATTTCTTTATTTTGACCGCTGATATTTCTGTATGGAATTTGTCCAAAATTCCATTGAATTCTTGTAATTCTTCAACTGTTATGTTCTTGTCTTCTCTCGATCTTTCGAAAAAGATGTACAATTGATTAAGATACATATTCAAGATATCCGTTTTCTTTTTATAATGAGCTTTCTTTTTGCTCGTGAAACCTAAAGTGATGAGACCGCAAGAAGTCGTTTGAACGGCTGTTAATGCAGCCAATACGGTTGGGACGATGACCGGAAGCATTAATCCACCAGTCACGGCCGTTGCCACCGTTACTCCTACGGGTATTAAAATTAAAAACATTTACGCGTACTAACGACATTTCTTTTTTTCGTATGGTCCTCTTTAAGATGATAGGAATATTTTATTTTTTCTTTTTCGATGTTTATCTTGGCTCTAGAAATAAAACCACCACCTTCAAGGATGGAGTCGGAACCTTCGGCAAACGATAAATGTACTATAAACTCTCTTTCTTGTTGACTTTTATGAACATCGATCGAGGTGTATTTTCCACCTAAAACAAAATACAGTTTTACGTATTCAAAGTCTGTTGTTCGTAAAAACTCGTGACTGCTCGATTCTATTGGTCCGGGTACGTATACGGGTATTATAAGTGATGGTGGAATTTTGACAATGTTGGTTAATGGTGGATTTTCCGTCTCCAATATCATATCCAAATCTTTGATTCCAATGATATCCTTATCATTTTCTACTTCCATTTTAAAGGTGTCTACATATTTACCATTTTTCGTTTCAATTTCCTGATCCCTTTTATCAATCAAACGTATATTCTCTTCCAAATTACCATCATTGAATAATGAAATATGTTCGACGGCCTTACCGGTTTGTTTGAAGACTACTTTATTGACTTTAACCTTCATGGGAAACTCTATTTGAATCAGACAATTACCTCGAAAAGAAAACTCTTGCGTTTCGCCGATATCGAATACGTTTTTAGGTTCTCCGTATGCGAGAGTACCTACTTTTATTTCTGCTTTGAATCCGTATTTGTTTGATTTATAAATTTGATCTTTTCTATCGAAGACAGTGTCACTTTCGAATCGAAGATTGAAATAATACGATTTGTCCGTGACAATAGCTTCTAATTTGCTCAACTTTCTCTCTTGTCTCAAAAAATCGTCATGAATTCTAGATACCAAAAGATTGACCTGTTCTTTAATATAATTTTTCATATCATCTCGAAATTTATTTTGAAGAAAGTTTATAATCACACCCACTTCTTTTTCTAATTCGTCCGTGATTTTAGTATCCAAAGCAGTCAATTGTTGTTTCAACGTATCTTTGTCAATGGGAAGTGTGTTAATTATATCTTGAACATCTGATTTTTGCTTCGCGATCTTTTCGTTCAAATTGGATATCGAATTTTGTAACTCGGTTTTGTCCGCGGTCTTGTCTAGTTCTGCTAGAAATTCGCCAAGTTTTCTTTCCAAAGCGGTTAGTTTTCGTTTCAATCTATCCTCGTTTACATTTGGGTTGTCTATTAAACGTTGGGCGTCTATTTTTACCTTCGTAATCTTATCGTCTAATTTAGATATTAAATTTTGCAACTGACTTGTTTTATCCACTTGAATAAGACGTTTCAAACTCGTTAACTCTTGTTGTAGTTTGGGTTCGTCCACAAGATTTTTAATATTTCGTCTGATGAATCTTTTCACGTCAGTTATTCTATTTTCAACATGGTCCTTATCTATTTGAATTGCGTTTATTTGATCCAGTAAATATTTCTTGTTCACGGCATCGTTATCATTTCCTGGAAACTTTAAATTAGTTATTTTGAAATTGTTCATATCGATATCCCCTTGTAAGGTGTCTCCGATTTGATCCACGAAAAAAGGTCTCGCTTTGTTTATAAACGCCGTAGAACTCATGGGATTTTTAGATTCTAGAGGTAAAGAACCTAATCCAAACTTGTTTGCCATTTTTATGGAGTTAAATTTATTATAATTTCTTCAAACTTTTCTCCCAAACTCAACCGATATAAAACCCAAAGCGACAGCTGTCCACACAGCTTTTGTCCTGGCATTTGAATTTGAAACGTAGAACATTTGATTGGTTTGCTAGTCAATTTCGTTATCTCTTCTGTCGGTTCTAGACCGAAAGAATCAAAGAAATAAAAGTTATTCGAAGAATCTTTGTGTAAAGCAGAGTGATGAACTCCTTTTTGATCCGACGTGTGAATGTTTGTGATGGCGTAAAATTTACCTTTCTTGTATTTCAGTTCATCAATTTCATCTCGCATGCAATAATAAAACGGCGAGACGTTCAATTCCTTGGCCCATTTCACAAGTTGAAAATTTGTGGTCGTGTCTTTTCTGTATTTATCGAGAAATGCATTCATTTTTAAGTCGATTTTTTTAGGTGTTTTTCGAAGTAGGCGGAAAGTATTGCTGAAGACCCAATTGACGAAATATATACGTAGTTTGTGTTTGAAAAAACTTGTATAACATTCTGATAAAACACATTCAATAATATTTTGAAGATAAATTTACATTTAAATTTAAAAAATCTTAATTTAAGGGAGCGTAAATGCTTGTCGACATCTAAATTTCTTAACCTTTCATCAAAATCTTCATTTTCGAGATTCATTTTTAAAAGTCAGTTTTTTGAAGTTCATTTTGATAAAACCTTCCTATGATTTGTTCTTTGTCTTGATCGATCAATTCATACGTGGGAGGTGATGTGTTGTTTACTTTATCAACGATGAATATCTCGTTAGTCCAATAGCCGACGTAACCTTTCTGAAACAATGATTTATATTTAAAAATACGAACTCGATCTCCAACTTTGAATTTGGGTTTAATATTCAAATTGTTAATCTCGTTTTCAAAGTTGTTTCGAGTGTTGACGGACTTTATGATATTCGGGTTATTAGAGGCTTGGGATGGCGTCACACCTATAGACGAATGTATTTTGTTATTGTATTCGTCGACAACAACCGGTAATATTTTAAGCCATTTTTGAGATTTCAATTCCGTGAATTTCTTGAATAATTTGCTTTTAAGAGTCCTGTTGAATCTTTCTATCACTACGGCTTTACCTTCGTTATGCGTACTGTAAATTTCAAGCCCCAGAGATTTCACATTTCTGTTGTAGAATTCGCTTCCTTTATCAACCCACAACTTTAGGGGTTGTCTGTCGGATTGTTTCATTATGGTTTCGAATGCTTGTTTGACAGTCAGACCCGATTTGTTTTTCAAGGGAAAGACCCAAGCGTATCTCGTGTATATGTCGATCACCATCAAACAATACTTGTACCCTCTCTCGACTCGCATGTTGATTAAATCGGCTGACCAAATTGGTGTCTGAATGTTACGTCTTTGTTTCTGTACAGTATGTCGTGTTTGAGCGCTGCTGCGTCAACTCTATTAACGGGTTCTTCCCCTGGTTTGGGATTATCATTTTCGTCTAAACGCAGATCTAACCTAGTGCCTGGACCTGTATAATTGTGGCCTGGGAGATGTTTTTCTCCGGGATATTTTGACCATGGGAATCCAGGAAGAGAACCCAATGACTTTTGAATGTCTCCCGCACCGAAATACGTTTTAGGAGGATGGACATTTATTAAAGACATATTTGTTCAACATATATTTTTAATACGAAAGATTTAATACAAGGAGGAAATTTGTTGTTTGAGACAAAATTGGCCACTTTGGGGATGAAAGATGTTAGCGCAGAGAAGAAACCGTCTCCTTCGAATTTTTTTTGTTCGTGTTTTAAAATTAAAGACATTTTTAATGCGGTTATTTTATACTGTATTATTTTTTAGTGATTCTTGTCTGGGTAATTTATATGGAGTCTGTTATAATACAGTTTGGAGGAGTCTGTTATAATACATTTTTAACAGTTGTGTCTTTTCGAATATGATGCATTGAAAAAGCTGCGCATGCGCAGAAGTGAAATGCGTCATATAAGAAAAGACATATACTACTGTTATTGCCCTTGAATTGACAAGCGAGAAATATGGTGAAAATCTTAATTTCTCAATTTTGCTCTACACACAGTATGATTTATAGATTTGCCTCCAGTTGTAACTTCTTTTGACTAATCTAAAACGTCAAAATTGGAACCTTTCCTGTCCATCTACACCAAAGTAAATATATGGCTTACTGTATCTCCGCACTTGCAGGGGTTTTAAGCCTATTTAGATATGACAGAACATATTAATATTTTATCACCTGGTGGAGACATTACTGAAAAATACCATCATAAAATTCAATTTCAACTATACCTATTACATATTAGACCGCAAAACCTGTCTCTATTTCAGCCTCTGGTAGCTATTTGGACAGATGTTGACAGGTGTAGAGACAGAAAAAGAAGGCTATGAGGCCATATCTACTCTCGCCCACGAGAAAGCGAAAAAGGCGAGGAAAAAGGCGAGAAAGTGAGGGAAAAGGCGAGGAAAAAGGCGAGGCTATGTTAAATGGTGACTTTCTGCATCTCCACAGGTGCAGGAGTTTTAAGTCTATTTAGATATATGTATGACAAAATATTTTCTTATGCATTAGTAATTTCAGCTTCAAAATTATATGTATAGTCTACGAACTACTTCATGGTCATAGGAATATCAAATTTTCCATTTTATTGAAATATTTACATGAGAAAAATACTTAAAATTGCCGTAGGTAAAATCATATCCCAAAATATCTGTTCAATATACCAACAATAGTAATACATATGATCACCTGGTGTAGACATTACTGACAAATACCATCATAAAATGCAATTTCAACTATACCTATTACATATTAGATCGCAACATCTGTCTCTATTTCAGCCTCTGGTAGCTATTTGGACAGATGTTGACAGGTGTAGAGACAGAAAAAGAAGGCTATGAGGCCATATCTACTCTCGCCCACGAGAAAGCGAAAAAGGCGAGGAAAAAGGCGAGAAAGTGAGGGAAAAGGCGAGGAAAAAGGCGAGGAAAAGGCGAGGAAAAAGGCGAGAAAGCGAGGGTAAAAAAAGAAGAGGAAAAAGGCGAGGAAAAGGCTAGCTTTCTCGCCTTTTTTCGCCTTTTTTCTCGCCCTTTTGCTCGCTTTCTCGCCTTTTTCCTCTCCTCTTTCCTCGCCTTTTCCTCACTTTGTCGCCTTTTTCCTCGCTTTCTCGCCTTTTTCCTCGCTTTCTCGCCTTTTTCCTTGCTTTCTCGCCTTTTTCCTCGCCTTTTTCCTCGTAATTTTCCTCGTCTTTTTCCTCGCCTTTTTCCTCATTTCTCGCCTTTTTCCTCCATATTAATATCTATGTACATGTATCCACTGAATAAAACTGAATTTGATTTCAATAGGTTAATTAACAAATGTATCGTTAATTAATCAGTTTGAGCTAGTTTTGATGTTTGTCTTTTTAATGGCTCAATAATTTTAATTTTTATAATTTCCTGCTTTCTCACCTTTTTCCTTGCCTTTTTATGCGCTTTCTCGCCCTTTTCCTCGCTTCATCGTCTTTTTCCTCGCTTTCTCGCCTTTTTCCTCGCTTTCTCGTCTTTTTCCTCCTTTCTCGCCTTTTTCCTCCATATTAATATCTATGTACATGTATCTACTGAATAAAACTGAATTTGATTTCAATAGGTTAATTAACTTTTATTAATTAATTTTAATGGCTCAATAATTTTAATTTTTTTAATTTCCTCCTTTCTCGCCTTTTTCCTCGCTTTCTCGCCCTTTTCCTCGCCTTTTTCCTCGCTTTCTCGCCTTTTTCCTCGTTTTCTCGCCCTTTTACTCGCTTTCTCGCCTTTTTCCTAGCTTTCTCGCCCTTTTCCTCGCCTTTCTCATTGCTTTCTCGCCTTTTTCCTCGCCTTTTTCTTCGCTTTCTCGCCTTTTTCCTCGATATTAATATCTATGTACATTTGTATCTACGGAATAAAACTGTTCAATAGTTCAACTGAAAAATTTGAAAAAATAATGTGCACTGATAAAAATGAATGAAAAAGGCGAGAAAGCAGGCAAGGAAAAAGGCGAGAAAGTAAGGAAAAAGGCCAGAAAGCGATGGTTAAAAAAGGCCAGAAAGCCAGGGTAAAAAAGGCGAGGAAAAGGGCGAGAAAGCGAGGGTAAAAAAAGGGCGAGGAAAAGGGCGAGAAGTCGAGAAAACTCTTTTCCTTGCCTTTTTTTACTCTCGCTTTCTCGCCTTTTTTCTCGCTTTGTCGTCTCTCGACTTCTCGAGTTGAGGGTAATATGGCCGCAGCCGGCTTCCATAGTTTTAAGCCTATATGGATATCTTAAATTTGCAAAACCCAGATATATTTGAAAAGATAAATATTCTCGTAGTTCAGTCACCATTTATGTCAAGTCTCCTGTTCCATCAGAGTCATGTCATACCAAAAGTCAAAACGAAAGTTACGGTGGTGCCCAATTTACAATCATTGTAAAGGTAATTTCATATGTTATAAAAAACGCAAATGTGGAAAATCCTTATTTAACAGGGTCTATTTTTTCTGACTCTTCTCCAGCCGACAACTGTCAAAATATCCACCAAAGACTTGAAAAGAGGCAAATGTTTCAGACTAATTACCTGTATAACAAACAAAACAAATTTCTATGGATAACGAAAGACTAAATGATACAAAAAACTTAATTTACCAATTATTTTATACATCATGTGGTCATACATCTCAAATCTTCACATACAAAAATCATAAAAAACATGACAATAAATATACACAAAAAAAATCTTTACACATTAGTTATTGAATATATGAATTGCAGAGGCTTTTGGTTTGGTTTTGCCACAATTCTACATTGTTATCATGAAAATGGTCTTGTTTAGAATAACCTCATAAAAACGAAACTGCTATAGGAAACTTGTTAGATTACAATGGAGATGAGAAAAAGATTGATATTTAACCAAATCCAGTGCATCTGACATTCAAGGATTCAGACAGACCCACCAATTGGCAGAGTTCCAGAGCATTTGGATTTCCAGCTACTGCCAGAATCTGATTGATCCTGAGGCAAAAAGCTATCATATTTCCAGCCGACTGTTCATATCAGCGCATAGTTCACATCACTGCAAAAGGAAACCAGATCTGGTCAAATATCATGACAATACATATACATAAATTATTTGGTAAAAAATTTCAACATTGACAATGATATATCAATGACTAGATATAAATTACATAATAATTACCGGGTGTATACAATAATTACATTACTTATTGGTTTCAAAATTATAAGCATTCATGACATTGATTAAAATACATATATCGTATATTCCCTGTTTCTTGACAATTGTATTATGCTTTGAAAACTTAATGTTTTGCATCTTCTATTGAAACTCATATTTAAGCATTTGTTTATAAATTGTAAGCTCAAAGTTCCAGACATTTTGATTTTTTTTTTAATGTGTGGCGACTTTGATCATGGAACCTGAATTTTTAAGGGATACAGAGATCTAATAATTTTCTTAACTAACTAAGAGAGCTCAGTTTAAGCTATCCCTAACTTTTTTTTATTTCATCTTGTTATCATTAGCACTTCAACATGCACTTATTACTAAAGACATAATATCGAAACGAATAACCGAACATAAAGGAAACTTAAAACTACCTAGAAGTGACTACAGTTCAATGTGAAAGACAGCCATTTATCCACAAATCAATTCATACCCTTAACAATTGAGGTTCTAAAAGTTGTTAACTCTGGGTTTATATGCGCCACAAAATTCAGGATTTCACAGCATGTCACACAGAAGGTTAAAAGGTTTAAATTTTTTCTACAGTGTCAATACTATATAACTTTAACAGAGGTTGTTGATGTCAATCAAATTTCTTCTGTAAACGTCTCTTGAAGAAAACAGGTAATAAAGACATCACAGCTAATACTGTTAATGTTAAAACAGAGGTCCATGAGAAGGCATCACTGGATGATGTTAGTTTATGAAGTGTGGTTCCAGCTTGAATAAATAGAAAGGAAGGGGGTGCAACTCCTGTAATAGAAAATATCATATAAATTTAAATGAAGCAATTTACTGATTATCAGGCTTGTATTTGTATCATTAGCTAAAAGAAAATTCAAAAATGAAGCCATTGGTGCAAATGCATGATGAAAATTGTACTGTAAGTTAAAAAGGTCAACCAAAGGTTTTTAAGTTTTGAATTAATAGTCATCATTAAAAGACATGTCTCATTACACCATACTAAATGGATTGTATGACGATCAACAAGATCAAATTTTGATAAAAAAAAAGTGCAGAGACAAGGGCATTATCAATATTTTCATATGAACTTAAATAAGTCATTGGTAATACCTCCACACGAAAAAGTCAATAATTTCAGAATTAGTGTCTTTTTGTCTCCTTGAAAATCAGACATCAAAATCATATTGCTTTGGATACCTGGTAGCTGAAATTGAGCTCAATCAACTGGTAATTCAGATAACCATATCATTTAAAAGAAATGAAATAATACTAACCTAAAAATGTTCCTACAGTAAATGGTATAATTGGTACATTGAGAACAGGTGAGGTAATATTTATAAACCAATTTGGTAATAATGGTGTTATTCGTAAAAATATCATATAATATAATAAATGCTCTCTGTGACGTAAAATCTGAAATAATTAAAACCAAATTCAGGATAATATTCTAACACAATATAGCGCATATCTAACATAGTGTTAGATAGTGCAGGATAATCAGCAACTGACAATAATCTTTTTTGGAAGAAAGAAATTATTTCCTATGAAGACAGTCAAAATCATGCAATAAATCATACTGGAACCGTGACATAATCTCTCTGTTTTTGATTTCTATGTAACACTATTATGACCTGTCTTTATTAAATGTACCATTTGATAATATCCTGGATCTCTTACAGCTGTTGGCTTATAACTTGCCAAAAAATTTAAAATATTCAGATATCTTTGCCTTGCTACACACCAAATCTAGCTTCAAAATGCTGACTATATGATTTAATTAATGCTTCTGCACATTGATAAAATTAATTACTCACGCTGGCTTGCCACTGTGCAATTCTTTCAGGAAAATATTTATTTACAAGTTTCCTTCCCACTAAATATGATAAAAAATAACAAAAAGATGCGCCTATACACGAACACTGGAATAAACAAAGAAAAGATTAGTGGTATCATACAGCATTTTAAGGCACATTTTAAGGCATGCATTCAATTTTCTTTATCCAGTTCTGGTTGGCCTGGTTAGAAAATCACATTGTTAACATAATGAGATCACTATATATATGTGATTTAAAGGATCACATATAGGTGATTTTGCAAACTTAAAGGTATACTACCTCTTAGGATGATGAAAAAATTTGGATTTTTAAATTGCCAAAATGAGTCTTTGTTCATCAGTGGATTTACCTGGTGTTAAACAATACTACACAATCCCTCTATAATCCAATAAATCCAAAAAAAAAAAACTAAGTAATAATTTATTAAACTAAGTAATTTTGAAACAGGCTTAGACACAAGTTTCAATAATAACTGAGTTTAATGGATATATCGTCTTATATAGAGATTCTATTGTTAAATCATGGCACCTGGTCAAACTGATGAATATGTACTCTAATTGACCAAGCTTGAGACATTAAATTTCATGTCCTTTTTAAGAGGTAGTATTCTTTGAAAGAACTTCATATCAGATATTTTCAATATTATGCTATTTTCCAATTTACAACTGTTCTAATTCAAGCAAACCAAAAGCCGGTTTTTATCTTAAAAAATGATAAGGGTAGCTAAAATTGAATCATATTCAAAACATCATGTATTGAATAAAGATATTCGAAAGCTTGTAAATATTCAGAAAAATAAACAAATACCATGCTGTTACTTTATAAAATTCTGAGTAAGAGAGGAGTAAGAAGGACTGTTTGTAAAATTACATGCTAATCCTATCTGACAAATCCTATCTGACAGGAGCTCCAAAATTTCAATTCACACACCATAACCTTAACTACGAAATTCAATTCTTTATTACAGAAATGCTTTCATATAATCTGTAATTTATCCATTAGCAAATATAATGATGGCTCCTAAAGCAATATTCCCCAAAGCTAATGAAGAAAGCTTATACAGCGAGCTCCAGAATAAAAATATTTTTCATGCAAAAATTCAAACTTTCTTCCATGGGTAAGAAGTAACTTAAGGTCATCAACTGAACATCAAATAAAGAATGTACTTACACTACAAACTAGAAATAAGGCTAAGGGAAAATTGAACAGAAACCCAGAAATGATGCTCAAAAAGATTGAACTAGGTATGGCAAATGATTGCAAACTAATATCCTGTTAAGGAAAATAATCAACCTCGCATATATAGCTGTTAAATTTAGCTGTTAACCAAGACATGCACATCATGCAGCTGCAGATTGATCGCAAGCTAATTGCATTGGAAATTTGATACGTAGACTTATCATCGAGATTTTGGTTTGGAGAAGGGAAATGTAAGGCTGTTTAAGGGTGGTGACACACAAAACAATCATAGTCAACATACAACATATGGAATATCAAGTGAGTCACCCTGGATGATTTCAATTTAAGTCCACATGTGATCTTAAAGTGGGAATAAAGACATTGGATTCAATATAACAATTTCTCTACCATTAATTGTTTTGATTGAAACCCCAATCCTTGTACATTATGCTTGAAGGAGGCAAAAGGATTCAAAAGAGTTTGGACAAATTTGCCATAATGGCTGAGTGTGTCACCACCTTAAAAATTCTGGAACTTAAGAAGCTCTCCCAACCCCTCTTTACCCCTTCTTATTGCAAGACAAAAATATATGTGTACATGTATATACAGAAGTAAAGGAATAAAAAAAAATACTAACCAAACATACAAGTATTAAAGCTAAAGGAAATGGGTATAAAAACCCTGAGATTATACTTAAAAAAATGGACCCAGGAATAGCAAAAGATTGCAAACTGTTCACAAGTTAAGGAGTTTTAAGATACCCATTTCTTTGACACATATAATCTTAATGGAAGGAGTAAGTGAATAGAGAGACAGGGAAGCAAGATGGAAAAAATTTGGTGGAGAAATTGTTCTGTAAAAGTTGTACATTAGCTCATTAATATACATTCATTAATTTAATTAAAAGACAAGGTACACCGAATGCAGTATAATATAAAGACAAAAAAACCGAATGCAGTATAATCTAAAGACAAAGTACACCGAATGCAGTATAATTTCAAAGACATGGTACACCGAATGCAGTATCATCAAGACAAATATGGGCTATTAAATGAGACTTTTGGCTTAGATGATTATATGGCCATGAATTGCATTTTGCTGGAAAAATAGGACACAGTGAAAAGATACCTGAGATATTAATTAAGAGACGCTTGCGAATTTTTTTTGACATTTGTTATGATACTATTGAATTAAGGGATGTAAATGTAAGAAATGGAAGAGGCATAGGGCAATAATTTTGCGAGCTACTGTACATGTATCTGGCCTGTCAATTCAAAACACCAAATTGCAAAGTGGCATCCAGTTCAATAAAAGGATACAATATATAAGTTGTAAAAAATCCCAACATGACTTGGTAATAGTATTTGTCTTTATAATGAGACAGAACCAGACCTAAATTCTTGGCATCTTCAATATCTTTTGGTAATTTAATCATAAGTTTTTCTTTTCTGAAATTCAAAATTTTAAATTAAGTTTAAAATGGCAAACACAAACATCTAGACAAGGATAGTTTCCCTTTGACAGATGATAAACCATTTTCAATATTTCTATTAATCTGTCTTAGCATTTTACACCTGACAATTACCTCCTCGTTGCAATTTGTAAAAATCAATTTTGCAGAAATGTAGTCTGAAGTATGTGTTTTCAATAAATAGGTCAACTTATGTGCCCCACATCTACATCTCTAAATTTAAGTCAGACTTCAAACTTTAATTTGATCATTTGATTCACCCCCCTTTAGAGCTGTCACCACATTGGTCGATGCACCAGACATTTACATCTTGCCATAAAATCTGCCAATCTATGGGATTCTCTTATAAAAATTTGGGTCTTTGAAAGCAGAAGAATCAGTTTAATCTCAATAGAGCCTGTCAAAACTTTTGTGATTCTATAAATTGCCACACTCATTTCATAAAAAAAAAGACTTCCACAAACCTTTTTTAACTTACAAACTATTTACATGAAACTCAAAATATAGATTCTACTCACTCTTCTAGCTCAGGGAAACTAAGGTATACTAGTAATAGTAACAATATAGATGCTACAAATATCAATCCGAGTATGATGAATGACTTGGCACTACTTCTGGAAGAACTGGAGTGACGCTTCCGCTCTTTGAGTTGTGTATACTGTGACCCAGAATCTGTTGCCTCTGAAGTACTGCCATCTGGAAAAAACAAGATTCGTTGTACGTAATTTAAAACGAAATTTCAAAAGAGGTTAAGATTGAGCATCATGCAAAACCAAGCATTGTAGTTAAAACATCTTGCAGGTAATTTCTTGATAAATGCTGTTAGATGTTAAATGTTAATCATGTCAGTGCAAGGATTAAAACTAAGTAATTAATTTGTGAAAAACATAAAAATAGTACTAGTTATGCTACCACTTCACTATGTTATATTTGTTAAAAATCTTAAGAAATTTAAATTATCGTTTTGGTACCATTTTGGCTTTTTCAAAAAACCCTTTTTGACCTTTCCAAGAGCCATTTTCATCAAATTTTGGGCCATCACCGGCATTGACACCAACAAGCAAGGCCTACTTGAAATTGATATACATTATTATATACAGCAGGAATTGAGCTATATCAGCTTAACATGCAAATACATAGGAACTATAAATGTGCTAGAAGATGTTAGATATTGAACAACATTCGATGAGCCAGAACAGCTTTGAATCTCATAACAAAAATTATTATGTTATCATAATTATAACGAAACCAGTTCAGCAGAGCACACTCACTCATCATTGTGGACTCGGAATTATATGATAAATACGACTGTCTAAGAGGAGGCCTTGCAAGAGGATTCCGCATTTCGCTACCTTGATGTGTTCGACGGTATTTTGTAGAATTAGTTTCATCTTCCATCATTGTTCAGTGTATCGTCATCAAATGAGAATATTAATGATGATGTTTTGTTTTTCACAAGTATCAGGCGGAAGTGGTTTCGCACAAATCAAATGATCTCAATATACACGAAACGACATTTAGTTTCGAACAAAATAAAAACTGTTTAGAGAAAAATAAAAATCGAAATCATAACTCCATACACGTATTTTGACACTTCTTCATCTCTTTCATTCAAATTATGTTTCGAAATCAATCCTCAAAACTCTTCTTAAAATACGCCTTTGATTCGTTCTCGTATCTTCTCACGCGACCAATTTGACAAAAACCGTCAAATCGGCCATCACAATGACGTCTATAAATTTATAGATGTCATTGGGCTATCACGTCAAATCGTCCTAATGTCATTTCATGACATGTACATAATATCTAACCAAGTCACAGAAAAATGTAGTACAGACTGTGAGAAGATTCCATGGATTCAAGTCAAGTAGCAAGATAATGCAATCTATGAAAATCGAATGTAAAGGTACTTCAACAGGTGCTCACAATGAGAGTATGCAATCTCATCTCATGATAAAAGGAACTTTAAATTCAATTCAATACACTTCATGTAAGCCTTTGAACACTTTGTGAATCTGTTTAAAAAAATTCCACTGTCTGGTGTTTAGTTGCAATGATTATATTGGGACTTCCTTTTGCGGATTTTAGACGGCAATAATAATATAATACTGAAGGGGCGGTTCTTTTCTAACGGCGATTAAAATTTTTCATTTGTTATTAAATACCTTGCCAATCAAGCTTACAAAATTATTCTCGAATCCATTCTAACAAGGGGGGGGGGGGCAATTTAAATTCTTGGGCCTTTTGACTCCCCCCCCCCCCCCCCCCATTAGACCGCCACTGTATAGGCCCTATCAACTTCAAGATCCACCGACCGTTATTCTAATATGTGGTGTCCATATCATTATCTCCCCGAAAATAAGTGACTATTTGGCACGAAAATACTATATTTTTGTTTGGTACGATAATAATAAGCTTATCTTTCCTAATTATTTCTTATCAATTTTACTCAAGGTGTATATTGTCGAGAATGTATCGAAATTGTTGTGTCAACCGTGGTAAATTAATATACGATAATGCTCTTTCATGTAGGCCTTCATTAGTTTTCTGTGTGAACGGTCTTTAGGATATATAATCAAAATGCATCTCAGGTCGATCGTCCAGAAATAAAATGCAGTTGTACTCCAAATTTTCTTCTCTAGAATGGGCTAATAAATAAAAGTAACGCCTTGGTGTGTGCATCGAAAGAAATTTTGATAACATGTTGAAATCATTAACCTGTTCTTTCACGATTTCCAAAATATTATGTGCTCTGCCTATAAGTAACTAGGTTTCGGTTTATTGTCCCATCCGGAAGACTAGTCGGTCTTTCAATGTCAGCCAGCATAACTGACCAAGGGAAACCGTGTTCGACAATCTAAAATTACGGACGACCAGAGAACTATGATTGTATGATTTATAAAACTTAAAGAAATCAACCCAGATGTAGATCTAATATCGGTTATATTTCAATTTACGACACGAAAAAGGCATTAATATTACAAACAATGTATGGATACCAATGGTATATAAATCTCCAAAATTTTGTTTAATTTACATAATATATCGATATTTATGACGTAAACTTGTGTAAATAAATAGCCTTAAACATCTATACATAACCAATAAATAGGTATGTAAACAATCGAGATATCAACAATATGCTTTAGTTTACTTAACTATATTAAATTCAAATAGAAGATATTGCCCATATAGTTATTATTAATTAACACAAAACTATATGACTTACAGGGACAGATTCGCCATTTTCGGGGGGTTGATTTGGGTCTTGAATATGTGTAAATAGTATTCAGATTTGGATTACTAGAAATGTACAAAAACCGCACAATTCCTTCAAAAATATTTTAAATAAGGCATTTAACTGTCTATTTCAATATACATGTACAAAATGTATACGTATTTTCTTTTTATATGACAGAGTTCGAAGAACAACGAGTCATCTTTTAACTTTCAAACGCGGATAATGCAGGACACACGTGGATTTGAAGGCTATAAAATTCGAAGGTGAGTCGTGAACTCTACTACTGATTATCTTAGATAAAAAAAATTTAAAAAAAAAGAAAAATGGTCTAGCAAATGGCGAATCTGTCCCTTTAATTTTCACATCTTACGTATTCGTAATCCAAGTGATATATGACATTGTGTCAAGGCATCTTAAAGGGCTTATAAAGAGCTTTTATTGTGTGCATCGGGGTCATTTATGGCTTCTTTTTGCATCATTTGAGCTTTTCCTAGCTGTATTGTACATTAGGGAATATAGCCGATCAGAGCCCTCGACAGACTGACTGTTACTGTTGAAGATACCAAAGCAACGGAAGTGAAAGTCAAAATAATCTCATTATTCAATTTCTGTAGTATAGACTATCTGGATATTAAAAAAAAACCGCAATAGAATGGATTCTCATTAAGGCCAATGTCACAATAACATTATTTATTTGTCATTTTTCGTTATATTTTAATAATTGAGGGGAGGGGGACAAATCTAATGAAATTACCATTTTACAAATATGTAATTCTTCGGAATCACTCTATGGGTGTGGCTTAATTCTTGATTGATGTTTCATTTAAAATCTTATTAACAGCATTTGGTTACGAAAAAAATTGTAAGACCGCCTCTTTAATCTGTGACAGCTGCTCAAAGAGGATAAATAGTTTACACAATTTTTTAAGACATCAGAAGGGAGATTTTAGGGCAAGTATCATGTCTGTTACATATTTTATCGTTAGTTTCGTTGATATACAAACATTATTCATATTTTTTATTGTTATATTGTTATGTTATTACATCTTTACTCATCCGAAATTACCTCCTGGGCCACCCGGATGGCCAATTATTGGAAATTTACCGTTAATGAACAGGATTAAACCCGGGAAAAGATACTTATTTTATAAGGAAATGTCAGAAAAATATGGAAGTATTTGTCGTATTCGGTTCGGAATCCGAAATATGTTTCTGATTAGTGGTTATGACATGGTACACGAAGCCCTGTCGAATGTTGGAAATGGTTTGGAGAATAGGCCAAATTGGTTGTACACTATTGAAAAATCGACCAAAAATGGTAAAGGTAAGGATTAAAATGTTATATACATGTATTATCCCCATCTGATATATATCATCTCGGTTTCTCAACGGTATATGAGCATTTCTGAAAAACAACCCTTGATCAAATAGGTAAATGTCATAAAATGTAAATTGAATTTTAAAGGGACACATACCATCAGTAGAAGTGTTTAGAGCTCACCGTCGAAATTTAAACCTTCAAATCCATGTATGTCTCGTTTGAAAGATGAAAAGACGAGTCTTCTTTTCTTAAGACACTATATTGAAAATACATTTTAGAAATAGGAAAGAGATATTTTTGAAAGAATTATGCGATTTTCGTACATTTCTAGTACTGCTGAAAACTGAAGATTCAAATCAACCCCCCAAAATGGCGCACCTGTCTCTGTTAATGTTGAAATTATTTTATGTAGATATTCTTTTTTGTTCTTGATCTGTTTATAAGGAATCATATTCGCAAACGGTAAAGAATGGAAAGATGTTAGACGTATGGCGTTGGTAACATTGCGTGATTTTGGAGTGGGAAAATTGACTATAGAAGAAAGGATTATAGAAGAATTCCAAGCTGTCAAAGGGGAATTGCTGAAAGTCACTGGAAAACCGATCAGGATGAAGTACTTCTTGATTCGAGCGGTAACCAATGTTATCTGTAGTATACTATTTGGAAACAGGTAGATGTGTTTAGTAGGACTACATGGGTTATAGTAAGGGTATAGTTTCTGAATTAAGCTTTGCTAAATTATTGAGCTCAATTGTTTCTCTACCAATGTCGATTATCGTCACTTCTGGGAAATTACGAACATAAGCTATGAGAAAATTAATGATGATCGGAAAGCGACGATAGTTTATACAATTATATCCAGTAAACTTTTAATTATCTAAATCTAACTACATTGCATTTGGGTTCATTACATTCCTTCAGTTATGCCTACCACACTTTTTTCATTTGTTTAAATCCATAAGTTCATTGGATATTTTAATTACACTATACGCTATGCTCATTTCAGATTTGACTATAACGATCCAAAATATAAAGGACTGGTGAATGCTTTAGAGGATTATTTTAAAACTGAAAATACATCTTCCCCTATAAATGCTTTACCTTGGTTAAGATTTCTGCCCGGTCGAAAGCAGGTAAGATTTCTATACATTTTCTTGTTATACTTTTTTCATCATCATACTTTTCTTTTCATTATACTTTACTTAGCATCATGCTTTCTCATCAGTATACTTTTTTCATCATTATACTTTTCTTATCAATATACCTTTCTCATCATTATGTTTTTCTTATCATTACACTTTTCTTAACATTACTCTTTTCTTATCATTACATTTTTCTTTTTATACTTTTCTCATCATCACACTTTTCTTATAATTATACTTTTCTCATCATCATACTTTTCCCATCATTACACTTTTCTTATTATACTTTTCTCATCATGATACTTATCTTATAATTATACTTTTCTCATCATCATACTTTCATTGTAATTATACTTTACACATCATTATGCCTTTCTTATCATTATACTTTTCTTATGATCATACTTTCATTGTAATTATACTTTACTCATCATTATGCCTTTCTTATCATTATACTTATCTTATCATTACACTTTTCTTAACATTATACTTTTCTCATCATCATACTTTTCTTATCATTACACTTTTCTTATTATACTTTTCTCATCATCACACTTTTCTTATAATTATACTTTTCTCATTATCACACTTTTCTCATCATTACACTTTTCTTATTATACTTTTCTCATCATCATACTTTTCTTATAATTATACTTTTCTCATCATCATACTTTCATTGTAATTATACTTTACTCATCATTATGCCTTTCTTATCATTATACTTATCTTATCATTACACTTTTCTTGACATTATACTTTTCTCATCATCATACTTTTCTTATCATTACACTTTTCTTATTATACTTTTTTCATCATCACACTTTTCTTATAATTATACTTTTCCCATCATCATACTTTCATTGTAATTATACTGTACTTATCATCATACTTTTCTTTTCATTATACTTTTCTTATCATTATACTTTTCTCTTCATTATACTTTTTTCATTATCATACTTACTTATCGTCATAATTTTCTTTTCATAATACTTTACTTATCATCATAATTTTCTCATCATTATACTTTTCTTATGTTATGCTTTTCTTATCATTATACTTTACTCATCATTATACTTTTCTCATCATTATGCTTTTCTCATCATTATACTTTTTTATCATTATGCTTTTCTCATCATTATGCTTTTCTTATCAATATAATTTTGTTATCAATATACATTTTTCATCATTATACCTTTATTATGTTATGCTTTTCTCATAATTATGCTTTCCGTATCAATATATTTTCTTATCATTATACTTTTCTTATCATTATACTTTACTCAGCATTATACTTTTCTCATCATTATGCTTTTCTCATCATTATACTTTTTTACCATTATGCTTTTCTTATCAATATAAATTTGTCATAAATATACTTTTCTCATCATTATACTTTTCTTATATAATGCTTTTCTTATTACACTTTTCTTATCATTATGTTTTTCATATAAATATTCTTTTCTTATCATTAGAATGTATCAGCGATGATGGCGCCTATCATGTTATGGAGTAGTTTTGTATCTGAACAAATAAAAGAGCATGAAGACAAATTTGACAAAGACGATATTAAAGATTTTGTGGATGTTTACTTAAAAACCCGCGAAACGGCAGATGATAAGTCCATGTTTACAGGTAAATATGAATAATCAAATAATTGATCGAGTCTCCGACAAGACGGAGAGATCATTATTTATATAGCACAACTATATTCCGTCATGGAAGGTTTTACAGATCTTAAAATTCTATTAGGATGAAATATATCATTGAAAATACCTTCTGTCAAAATCTCTCATGAATAATTTAAGTTTAATTTTGGTGGCCGTGGGTTCTTATATCGGTCGTCGTGTGAAATCCAACGACCTTGCATGAATCATCTTTCCTCATTATTCCAGTCGACACAGCTGTAAATGGGTGCGGTGATTTGGATCCTCCCTAATCTCAATTCTCGGCTATGTGTAAAAGGGTCGAAATATTATTGCCTAATATGTAGCAACAACCCACCCCCCCCCCTTTTTTTTAGACAAACGTCATATCCGGGTATGGCGTCGAAAAGAGGTAACGACTTGAAAAACATTCTATTGCGAATTAGCGCTGAGTCTCACGTTCTTACAAAATTGGCCCTTTTAACCCTTTCTTTCATCTTTCCGAATGTAACTAATTGGAGAAATTCGTTTCATTACTTATAATGATGTTCCCTGGGGCGAAATTGTTGAAATAAGTTGAATAGACTACTATCGTATGGGTTAATCATTTTGTTTTAGGGTAAATAAATCAGCAAACAGAGCTGTTGATAGTGGTCGACGATTTTTGTCGCGGACTCGAATCTTGAGTGAGATTTCTCAAGATTATCGCGTTGTCGACAGGATATATAATATTAAACAAGTTTGTTTTATCGTCTGCGAGGCAGAGCGCCAGATTCATTTTCCTACCAATTTTGTTCTTAAGTCAACCTTGTATTGATATTGCCAGATTCATTGTTCTCTTGAATGATCTAGAATGGTTCAATTAATTCATGTCTGCTTTATTGATTTTGACGGTTCGTTTTGTGTGGTTTTTGTCTCATCAGAATGGTAGTACAAATAGGGGGACAACTGTCAAGGATGAATTCAAAATGCAGACGCCAGCCTTCGAGTGTCTGAAAGTGTTTTCCCCCCCAGAACATTTTTGAAAATAAGAATTGATTTAGTGCATTCTGACTGATATTTTAGGGCAAAAGCGAATATAAAATTCAGATTTAATAGAATTGAAGTAGGGGTATCCATTTTTATAAGCGAAGCAACTTAATTTAGATGTGTGTTTCTCTTCTGATAATGATGAAGGTCCTTATCAATGGCACGAGCTGTTCGATTTGAAAATAAATAATGCTGTATGCAGGAAAAGAATTATTTTTTGCTTGAGTAAATATCAAGTAGTCGTATTTTAGTTGGTGTAGATGACTCTATGAACATTTTTATCCTGTTATTTCAGCTGGGAATATTTTCCGTTTAATCATTGATCTGTTTGCTGCTGGTACAGATACTACTGCCAATACCTTGGATTGGATTATTTTACATATGATAGGATATCCGGATATCTTACAGAAATGCCAAGAAGAGGTCGATAAGGTAGATTTTGATAAAGCTATAATTTATTGACAATAAGCTATTGTATTACTGGAGAGCTCCTTGAGAGTAAGTATATGACGTCGTCGGTTGTATAGGAACTATACATTAAGACGTTTCAGAATCAAAATCAGACAAATGGTTTTCCTACAAATAAACGAAGACAATTGAAAATGTCGTCACGTCCAGAGTGTTATATACATTCCCAAGTGCAGTTATAACGTCATTGGTAATAAGTTCTATTTCTGAAGTTCTACGGATAGCTTAAAATGTTTGAAGACAAAAACAAACCAAAATACAAATATTATAGGTTGTGGGAAAAGGAAATGTAGTCCATCTGGTTCACAGACCCCACTTACCATACGTTCAAGCTACTATCCAAGAGGTCCAGAGAATATGCAATATTTGTAAGTTAAATTATTCGCAATATTAAAATTAGGACGTTATCACTTGCACTTTTGTTTAGAATTGGCATTATATTAAACAGTCCCATTTCTCAACTGAACTGTATGTTGTCCGTCTTCATTAATCCATTCAGTAAGAGAAAACAACTTGTGTACATTCTTTTAGAGCAGTGGTTTTCAACCTGTTTTTGTATGTGTCCCCAAATCGAATCAGCATGAAAATGATGTCACCTTATACCGAAATTATGAATGGATACGAAGCGCACTCTCACGTATAGTTTGATAGTAATAATTCTCTGAGTACTCCTAGACAATGTTAATTAAGGCTGTGTATAGTGTAGTCATCATATTATGAGATTTTGTATAGATTGTAGTTGGAAAGTTTATATATTTCACAGCCTATGACTAGCTGTGACACATCAAATGAAAAGTGCGAATGTCTTTACCTTGGGACATGTCCCCTGTGGCTGAAAACCCACGTCTTTGTAATACTCTCCTATAAATGAACACTATATCGTGTTGTCAGTCTTTATTGGACAAATTGAGATGTAAAACTCTAACTTATTCTATTTCAGCACCAACAACCATACCCCATGGTACAGTAAGGGACACATCTCTCGGCGGTTACACGTTAACAAAGGATTCCATTGTCATCATGAATCTAATGTCGGTTCATACAGATCCTAAATATTGGGAAGATCCCGAGATTTTTAGACCAGAAAACTTTTTAGATGAAAATGGTAAACTTAAACGTAGAAAAGCTTTTATGCCATTCGGCATAGGTACGTTTACATCTTTTGAAAATATCTTAACAGGTTTTCTAATCTTTCGACTTTCTTCACTGGATCGTGATCTAATTTAATTTCCGTAATATTCAAGGTTACGATTCAGCTAACACAAGAAAGTCGAAAAATTACGCTTCAGCGAATACGATCCAATGGAGAAGTTCTAAAGATCACGATTCAGCGAACACGATCCAGTGAAGAAAGTCGAAAGATTACGATTCAGCGAACAAGATCCAGTAGTGAAGTTGCAAAGGTTAAATTCGCGTTCTGCGTTCTACAAAGTCTACGGTTAAAATTAGGTTCTAGAAGACTCAAATTGAAAAAGGTAAATAAGATAGGAGATAAAACACTTTAATTTTATAAGATTAGCCATTTCTACCTAAGAAATGACTACGCGATTTTAAGAATTTATAAAATCAGATTTGGATCCTATTTTGAACCAAATACAGCGCCATATAATATAAAACCTGTCTTTAAATTATTAGCTTTAATCACATGGAATCGTTTTGGCCTTAAAGAATTCCCTAAGATATATATTATAATATATTACCAGAGTTTCTTTATAATCAACAAATCAAATTGTGAAAAAAACTTGTCTGTGATGAAGTCATTAACTAGTGTTCTTCATCAGAATATCCGGGGTTTTTTATACTAGAATTTCAAGATTGTCACTCTGTATTGAATTCAATTTTCCAGGTGCTAGAGAATGTATTGGTGAAAGTTTAGCAAAGAGTGAACTATTCCTGTTTTTCTCAAACTTAATTAATACCTTTAACTTCAGTCGTGTGAACGGAAAAAAGGTCGATTTTGACGGATTTCACGGTAAATCGTTTGTGCCTAAGCAATATGAGGTTGTGGTGACACCAATACCAGAAAATCTGTGAGTTAACTCTCGTGGAAGTGTTATGGACATCGGGGTGTCATTTCGGGAAATACGAAAAATGATATATCTAGCTGGGAGATCTCTCAAAGGAGCTGAGGTCGACATGCAATAGCCGGCATCTCATCTGAGCCGCTCTAATTATGCTCATTGTTTATATCGAATATATACTACTAGCAACTGCAATCAACTAGATGGTCGCAGATTCGGCAACTGGAACTGCATTTTTTTTTTTTTTTTTTAGTTGTATCTTTCTTTCTCTTTCTTTTCTTTTCTTAAATGTTCATATTCGCACCTCCCATAGCCCAATACTATTGTATCATTGTGATATTTGATTTATATAGACCATGTAAAATTATATTTTTGTATCTGAAACACAGTCTTGTTGTTTTTAAATTGTTTGGAAATTGCAAAGGGTGGGGGCATTATTTTACATGACTGTTGATTGGTGGGTCATGCTAGATACCGGTGGCCGTCTGTACAAATTTGACTATAGCCGTTTAAAAAATCTACAATTACATAAACCATATTGACGGAAGTGATAACATAAGTTTCGCCATTAAATGTCCAATTTAGACTACTGCCACTTCGAAGACATAGTTGGCCTTCTCGCCCTGATAGGGACGACAGTTTAAATTAAAGCGGTAAGAGTTTTTAATTGTTCGACAATCGGACATAGGATTTTTGATTCTATGCTATACAGAGCTGAAATTGTGCTTAAAGGATGGCTGCATACCTTTATATAGAAGGAAGTGACGTCATTTGAATCTGTCCTGATCTGAATTCATGTTCATATCACAATCACAAGACAATATTATGGAATAAGCACACTTCTTTTATAAAATATGAAACACATATTCCATAATATTGTCATGTGTTTGTGATATGAACATGTTTTCTACTAAAATATAACATGTTTACCATTGTTATTGTGATAAAGAATCAAACATGTTTACTACTACTGATGTTATAAGATCATAACATGGTTACAACTGTTTTATTATAAGGAATATAACATGTTTATAGCTACTATTGATATATGATTATATAACACAACACACTATAGTAATAACACTTATTGCTTGTATGTTTAATACTGCTATACCGAAACATAACGTTATATGTTTGAGTCGCTAATGTAAATAATAAAAATTGTAAATTTATTATATAACTAATACTGACGATTTAAATAAAAAATATAACCTGTTTACTACTGCTATTGCTCAAAATATATAACATGTTTACAACTGTTATTGTGATAAAGACACTTTGACAACTGCTACTGTTGAACATTATTTCTATAAATAATATTATAACATGATATCGAGAATTCATCTTTTCGTTGTAAAAAACGAATGGCTGGTCTTGCTATAACTAAGTTTAAATCGAAGCTATAGCATGACTATTTTCTCTGTGATTGTATAGAGAGTGGGAGTGACTAGAGATATCTGCGTAGCTCATATTAGACCCAGTATATAGTAGACAAGTAAATTGTATTAATGAATGTGTAAACAATGTAAAAAAAATAGGATCTGGAAATGAGCACGAACATCCAACCTCGCTGTCGCAACAAATAACACTTTAATACATCAATTCACGTGCAACAATTATAACATAACAAAGGAAGCGTATAGTTATGACACCAGGTAAGTCCACTGATGAATATAGAGACTTCTTTTGGCCGAAATTTTAATTTTTCGGTCAACCTAGGAGGTATCATTCCTTCAAATAAAACAAATCGGCTCAAAAGCTTCTTACCCTGGTATGGATTCTGTTATTGAGGACATACTGTTCGTTCAGAAACTGATCGTGATTCTAGAGAGCAATTGATAAGGATACAGTTCACTTGATATGGTTTTATAGTTAGAGTTAGTTAGACTTATGGTTTGTCTTTATTTGTAAAACCACGATTTTCACGTCTTACTTTTTCGATCAACTCTTCCATATCTACTCTACCAATGCTTTGGAAAGCTTTTTTCAGAAGTCCATACCTATTTTGACGTTGCCTCATTTGATTGGTTTTCAGTAGCCACTCAACTAATATCTCGAAGTTTGGATTAAATCCAGTGTTTCTTTCGCTAATAATTTTGATTTCTTCATGAGAGAATTCTAAGCAAATGGCGAGTTTTTTACCAGTTTCATTACCATAGGTTTCGGCCAACATCATCATGCTTTTTTGGGAAAACATTGGATCTAAAAAAAAAATGAATATGGTTAATGGTAATGTGACAGGTACCATTCCGTTGAAAGCTAAAATGACGACTTTTCTTGAGACTCTAGCCCGTTCCACAATGAATAAAGGGCAGAAGTGAAGCACATACTGAACAGCACATTCGTTGAGTTGAAATGGGACTATAAATAAACCAATTATTAACGATCGAAATCGAAATCCGATATCCATAACAACATATTGATGAAACATAGGTACAGCTAATGAACTTTTCATACGAAAGGCTATATCAATCATAGGTGAGTAAGTATTTCATTATTATTTTTCTCGCAGACTAGAGTCTAGAGGATGATAACGCTCTGTAGAAAAAAATATCAGGACAAATATCAAACGGGCGTGAGTTATAAATCCTGTCGGCAACGCGATAATCCTATCGTAGAAGCGAGGGCACACGGCAGATTTTACGAAAATATGCGACTAACACCATTCCTATACCCCAAGAATAAAGAGACACTTTTTCCAAACGTTTGACCAATCGTACCTTAGTCACAGAAACAGGAATTGTTTATTGTTTAGCTGGGCTAATCAGTAATAGTGTTCATAGCTCCCCGTCGAAATTTGAAAATCCGTGTGTGTCCAGTGTTTTCCGCGTTTTAAAGTTAAAATGACGATTCGTGTTTTTTTGGTACTCGAAGAAAAGACATTAAAAGCAAATGAAATTTGTACTTTGAGGTATATTTGAGGGTATAGCGCGATGTTCGTGTCGTTCTAGTACTTCTGAAGACTATTTATATATTCAAGGCCCAAAATCATCCCCCGAACGCTGAGAAAACCGCGGTCTGTAATCGAAACTTACCATCAGGAACCCCAGTTTCTGTTAAACTCTCAGGCGTAATGGTTTGGTTTTGATCTTCAGAAAACTGAGCACGCTGTGATGGTGCCATCGAAGAATAACTGGCCTGTTGTGTCTCTTGAAGGCGCAGTCGTTGGCTTTCCCTGTACGGAGCATGTCTGTGATTCAGACTTATCATGTTTTTGGCAGACTGAACAGGCCAAGCACGCCTTGGAGGTGGAAATTCTGTCATTTGGTACTGAAAGGTGCTATCACTATGAGACTGATTTGATCTCCTCAAGACATGAGAAGACCTAGCACACTGTGGCGGTGGTGGTGGTATCGAGGTATCACCAGGCAATCTTGTGATTTGATGTATGTCATTATGAGCTTGTCCCTGATTCGGCCTGCTCATATTTTGGGAAGACGGGTCTTGCCAAGCAGATTTATGTTCCTTCCTTTTCAAACCAAAACCTGTATTCTGTCGTTGTGATTGTTGTCTATCATTATCATTACTTGGTCGCGTCAATGGCCCTTGCGCTGGGTTCTTTGTTGGGAGCAATAGATTTTTCTTCATGGTAACAGGATCGAAATGTATTGGATGAATTTCTTTTGATTTTGAAAATTTATATTCAATAGCCGCATAGGGAGCGGAGCACATCCTCTCTTTCTTAACAACCGGGAAAGAAAAGTGATTAGACGGACAAAATAAGTCCAACTTAAGATAAAATGAAGACTTGCATATTCCTGGAGGGAACTCTATATTGAGTTTAAGTGCTACATGTACACGCTCCTGGTTCTTAATTTGCATATCAGGTGAAAAACTGTATGGTAGTTCTGTGAGACCTCTTGCTTCTCTTTTCTTCCTGATTTCATCTTTATTTTTTGATAGCACCAATTCTACCCACAAACTTGGCTGACTTCCAAGTATTTCAAAAGTGTAAAATGTTAAAATCTTACAAATTTCAGATTTTCCCGATATAATTTCAGCAGCATAAAAGATTTCTTCTTGGCTGGCGTTTGGGTCTACAAACACAGCGGCTGCACTGAAATGATTATTAAACAATAAGTATGCATTTTAACAATATTCAGAGGTCTCTCCGGCACTCTCAATTGTATCCCTGAGGAGCATTCGTTCCCAGAAAACTGTAGGTCAAAGTCTTAAAATATAAATCTTGATTTTTGTTTATGTGTTAACCTCCTGTCACCTGTTCATTGTAATGCTTTGATAGGAACTTATTTCTTCATTTTACGAGCAGGCGGCACAGGGGAACCAGACAATAAGGCAACTTAAAAGGGTTGTAAATAGGTTTTCTTAACTTTTTATGTGTATAGGGAACACCGATTTCCTCGATTTACATCATTATAATTTTCAGTCAGACGTCTGTGGGCTTTGCAATACCATTCTATTACAAAGGTCCTTAGTCATTATAATTCGGTTAAAAATTTCTATAATTACAGGACCGTAGACATTTGACCAAAAATCGGAATGAAGCGACGTTCGGTACATACAAAATAGATTTTTAAAAACGGTATACAAACCATTTAAAGATTTAATAATGCTAAAGGTTTGAAAGCAAGGGTAAGAAGAAAATACTTACTCTGAGAAATGTGTTACAGAAGTAGCATAAATATCAGGCTGAATCTTTGTTATAACACCATTTAATATTTCAGGTTGAGTTCCATTCCAGCGGATAAATAGTGGTTTTGGTGTAAAGTTTCTTTCATTGGTCATTTTTAAGGACATTGGAAGCTGGATTTTTACATTTTTATTAAAATCTTTAGTATGTTCATATTTTACACTTACAACATCAGACATGTTAAGGATGGTATTAAACAGTTTTGGATTATATTCTTTTAATTCGCGGACCCTCTTTTGATCTATTGGTGATATCTACAATATAAATAAATGAACCCGTCAATCAGAGTAGGAAAACTCCTTACTCTCAACCTTTTATGGGGGGGACTCGTCTGTTTCAAAATCCCCGTTGTGCCTCACAAGAAGCTTTTTGGCTACCTGGTTTCAATTTATGTGAAAAACAGGAAATCGTGGCCATTTTTGACGCCATCGTCGATTGCGATAATGTTTAACACGGATTTATAAGAACATATTTCTTGAAAATCCGAACTTAAGGAGTATTTGTCTGGTTTGTATTGTTTGGAATTGGTCGAAAAATGTGCTACGTATTTCTGTTCTTGACAGAGTGAAAGTTTGGTCATAGGGTCAGAATACACTGGAAATTGTTATTTAGAAGCTAGCCTTGAACATAGCGTACCTGAATTTCTATGTCTGTATTGTTATCAACAGCACCCATGGGGAAATCCAATTTCACCCTGGTGTCAAGTGATGAAACGAATTCAAAACCGTCCTCTGTAACTATAAGCTTTTCACTTATTCTTCTGGCTATAGCACATATTGACGATATCTCCATATAATCTGGTAGTTTGGTCAATGAAGTATCATTCTTAAATTAGAAATAAAGGTTTGATGAGGTCGACTGACGCGGAATTGAGTAAGCATTTTGATTCAATGCTGCTTCACAGCCATGTTTATATCGTATGGGTTCCTGACATTCAAATCTCCCATGATTGATACAAACCCGTGGTTTCCGAGTAACAGAGGAAGCTCCAGCCCCCTGAGAGTGGATGCACAAATAGGGACAGACTGGCCAAATGGTTGGAAAAGGTTGAGATTCAAAATGCGGCAGCTCAGTATAAACGCCATAGGTGCAATCCTCCCATGAAACGTCTGAGAGGGCTACCCTAGAAAATGTCTGACAAACATAATGGATTTGGTGCATTCTGAGTGTGTGTTCTGACAAAAATAAATGCAGGTACTTACTGAAGTGGTCAATTTGGAAGGAAGGGTAAGCCATTTATTCCCCTCTGTTTCTACTACTAGAAAATATTCAAAAGCAGCATGATGAGGAATGTGTGTTTTGGGTAAATTTACTTGAACTTCCATTGATACCTCAGTTGCTGTGAATAAACCTGTTGTTCGGTAGATGTCTGTTATCTCAAAATCATCTTCTGTTAGAGGTATTTGGGTCTTCTTTCGATCCGCAGCAGTCCATCTGACACATTCGATATCACAAGATTGGTATCTCTGTTCATCTTCTTCAAGTACAATCACAACAATTTCTGAATGGAGCTTCACTTCTTTAAAAATTTGGCTTCAAAATGGATAGAAAAAGTGAGAAAAATTAGAATGACATTAAAAAGGGGTATTCTATCGTATGTACGTTTACTGAGAGAGCTTAAAACCTTTATTAGCACCATTCTGGTGTCTATTCTGACGTCAGAACTCCTCGCACCTGCAGAACATTTGGCCAGATTATGACGTCATTATTGGAAGGTAGCAAATAGAAGCAAAAGAGAATTGTGGGATAACCAAACCCAAAGAAGAGCAATACGACAGCCTCTTTACTTCAGTGCAAAAAAATCTCACAAAGTTGAAGGTGACACTCAACATTTAAAATTAGATATTTACCAACCTTTCTTGACTTATGTTGTCATTGGAACTTTCTTCGAATTCTTTATTTTCATCCAAAACAAACGACATGTCATCAGAGCTATGTAAACAACATGATGATATTCAAATAGTAGTATTAGAAGAATCATTTTTCTAACTTTTTTATGACGTATTTGATTCTCAAGTCAACATTATAATCTATCTAATAAGTTGTGGCATCCCGTGTAAATCGTTAAAAAAGAGTACAATTCGAAAACACTACAAGTGGAATATATTGTAGCGGATTTCATTCATCCCGCTTCTCACAAACAGGTGCTTTCAAAGTAGGATTCAAAACTTCTTATCCAATTTATTCAAGTACAAAACTTCCTGTAACCCTTATCGGTTTCTGACTGCAGAGCGATTGTGAAACGTTTCTATGGCTGAATCAGAAACTGCTTTTGCTGAGCTTCCTGTTCGTAACTCTCGAAGTTAAGACCAAATATAGAGGAACTACGGGAATTTTAATTGGGCCATACTGATTTGAGTGATGGTTGGATAAACGGGAGAACAATTATAAGCTAAGTAAAATGATGAAATGTACCTTTCTGATAGTACCTCTTCGATGAATATTTCTTCACAAGGGTCACCATTTATTTCATCTTGCCACGACGAGTTGATTTTACTGAAGTTAAAATATTTACATTGAAACTGACTTAAACAGAGGTAATTAAGGTAAGAGCATCGACAATATGACTTGCATTGTAATATTTCGCTAACGCAAGGTATATACCGTCACTCAGAGTAAAAGTTACATTCTTCTTTTTTCAAAAAAAGTTATATTGAAAACAAATATTTATATTTTCAGTGGCTCTACTACCAAAGGGACTGGTTTAACCAAGTCCATGGGCCAAAAGAAAAAAAATACAATCTAAACAAATGTACCAAAGTATACAATTATAATCAAACTAAGAAACCGGCAATATATAAATGAGTGAAATAGCATTTACTACAGATGAAAGACATTAGCCCTTCCATTAACAGATATTTAAAGATGGGTTTCCTTATTTTCTAGTGTCAAATTAAGCAAACTATTTGATTAATTGGTGTTTCTAATGAATTATCATGTATTCTTAATCATATAATTATGCTCTTATTGCATATCATTAAGAGTCCAAGTATGTACAGTCCGGATAAACAAAAAAAAGACTTTTTGACCTTTCTTGATCGGTCACTCATTAGAATTCTGCTGGCAATTCTCTTCTTATTTAGCTAATTATGAATTAATTATGGATATGTGAGACAAACTGGTATTTTCCAAGTCATTAGAACATCTCTACTTTCTATTCATATAAGTATTAGCATTTTCATTTTTATAAATGAAAATAAGGGAACCCATCTTTAATGGACAAAATGCAGTTCAACCAAGGTCCCACACTCATATAGTTAAGCCACTGTATATTCTATGAATTAAATGTGGTTACAAATGAAAAACAGCCTGAAAAAATGGAATATGAATATAGGTGGTTCTTAAGGGGCTGGACGGATTAGTTTTCCACTCATAATATGCGTTACCATTTATACTTAAATCCTTTAATGTACAGACATGACATTCTCTAATATCGAATTACATATTAATAACTTACATTTGATCTTCATGGTCGACATCCTGCACAATGTTCAATCTGTTGCTCGCTTCTTTGCGAACATTTCTTACAATGTACGGGGTTGCCATCTGGAAAAGTACTAAGGTAAATTAGTCACAGTAATAACGTCACAAGGTAAATTGGCGACAGTGACGCGCTGAAAGAAAGTCATGCATATAGATTACAATCTACATGCCTGACAGCAGCAACATTCTGTGGCTTCTTCAGCCTCAATTACCAAATATACAAATATGTTCCCATATTTTGGTTAAGTTAAAGGCTTTAAAGGGATACTACCTCTTAGAATGGACATAAAAAGTCTTTAACTTGATCAAAAAGAGTATATATTCATCAGTTGGACTTACCAGGTGTCATGACTAAAGAATAGAATCTCTATATAAGACGGTATATCCATTAAACTATAAAGTAAATTTTGAAACACTAAGCTTGTTTAATAACTAGTTTTATGGATTCAATTGGATATAGCGAGATTCTATCGTATAGTTTTGACACCAGATAAGTCTACTTATTAACAAAGACTCATTTAAAAAATTTCATTTTTGTGGTCATCCTAAGAGATAGTTAATCTTTAACTAAAAGCTGCTCATTGAAAAGTTCTGAAAAGAAGGGAAATAACACAAACACCGTCCAGCCAAAATTTATTAAAACCTATCCCGGATATCTTCATAATACATTTAAGCATGCCAATTTTCTTCAAAATCAAATCAAAACCGTAGTCTACATGGTAACCACATCAAGGCAAATTGGCTATTCCAACTTCCAATTTTTACTGGTTGTAAAGCTGAAATTTACAGGGAAATTCCAGATTGACTCTCTTGGCCTACATGTAAGTAAAAGCAGAATTGTGTTTCGAAAGTTTAATCTTTCACATATCTTAAAAATTCGGATTTGTATAAAATCAATTTAAATAATACCTGCCAATCAGCCTGAAAATACAGCCATAAGATAAAAAGACATTTAATTGTGTCAGGGGTCACAGGTGCACAGGGTAAACATTCTGTTAATTCACGTTTAAATATCCTTGATATTCTTAATCTATTTCAAGCTTAGCTCGTTGACAATAGATTTGGTGGTATAAGTATATTCACGTTTGCTCAAATTTCATATATGTCCTTAGGTTATTATATATGTTATGATTTATTCTAAAAAAAAAATCGAGTGTACAATAACATTTATGAATAAAACACTAGGATAAATCAGTAGTCAGTATATTGAATACTGTTATGAAATTGATCTTATTAGTTCAGACTAGACAGGTACAGTCAATGCGACATACTATTCATAATGTCTAGTTAAATGTGGTGTAATTTATGGTCGCTCAATAAAGATAAGGCTTAATCACTATGTAGGGCACTACTAATATTAGACTAACAGTTGCTAACATTCTGTGCTTCGACATGCCAATGTCTAAAGTCTTCGTGAACTAACGTGAGGTGTGTGCGAAGGGTACGGGGTGCGTGTCATGTCCTTTGGAGAATTTTGAAATTGCAATTGTCGAGGTTGAATTAAAAAAAAGAATATTTTTGAAAGATTAAATTGATTTGGTGCATCCTGGCACATATCTTTAAATGTGTTAAAATGGTTTGCCAGGCAATGCAACATACGCCCACTACTAGCTGTCAGAAATGATAACAAAGTCTTTAGTAGCTTAATAATGAATTTACAATAATCTTTAACATGAAATTCAACCATGTAAAAGGTCTCATTGACGATGGCAATAACTCTGAAACTGTTCATCCGATTATTACCAATTTCGATCTCATCAATATATACATGCTTACAAATGTTTCATCAAGATCGGATAAAAACTGTAGTCCCCGTCATGCCTACAAGCCAAATTTAACGCGTTTTACCTAGTCAAGGGCAATAAATCTCAAACCCTTCATCCGATCATTACCAATTTCGACCGAGATCTCATCAATATTCCAAGGATCATCAAGATCGGAAAAAACTGTAGCCTCTATCGTGTTTACAAGAAATGTGGACGGACCAACGGGCGGTCCAACGGACAGGGACGACGGCAATTTAAGTCCACATTTCCATTTGGCCTTAAAAAATGAATTGATGGTTCAACTGAGGAATGCAAACCATTTTTCTAAAGGGTGGGGTCAAATGTACCTCCACTTGTGCCGCCACTGTTTAATCTATGCGTATCAAGCTGTGCCAATGCTGTAAATATACTGATTGTGCTTTGCGTACACTTTGTGTTACTTATGCACGAATAGGCACCCGTATGGCACGCCTTGCCACGATCAACAAAGCGGCGTTTCGTGTATAAAAATCGTGCATGTATATTCGTAAACACTATACTCGATATTCATGAAAGATTGTGGGATCGTGTAAAAAGTACATTTCTCAAGAACATCGTGCTGCAATTTATTTTACGACGATCATAAACAAACGTAAAATGTGTTATCTAGTTATGATTACCTATCAAAACATTTGGACGATATTCATAAAAAGAGAAAGTTAGTGCCAGTTACTGTATATAGTATTTAAATTCGAGATTTTTACATAGAAATGTTCTAGACTATCGAAATTATGAGAAGAAAAATGATTTTAAAACATCGCAACCACAGTATTCTTTTTAAAAATTCACAAAAACAATTAGCTTACCTTTATCTTGTTTTATAATGGGGTGTGCAGATTTGTTGTGGCAACGGGTTATTTTAGCGTATAAGTTAATCTAAAAATAGTATTTTTATTTTTAAATGGATTATTAATGGGAATTCCCAAAATATAACATTATAAAGCAGGGGTTTTAGTACGTAATTGGGGAGGAGGAGATTCCCAGGCTGATCTTGTGACAGGAGCAGATTCTTAGAGCAATTTAGTCAACCCGAGAGCACAAAAGAATGAAAAAGTGCAATTGCCAGTTACTATCGGTTGCTCACATTTTACCATCTTGCAGAATTTGCAACCATCAGATGGAGTCCTTAACCATTGATGGCCGTCCCTCTCCTCCCTTAGTGGGGTGGTGGGGGTAGGGGAGGCATTTAAAAAAAGAATTTACAAGATAAAAAAATTACTGCCATTATCATAGAGATATCTTATGTTCACTACTGTCTTTATCACAGAAATATCTCATGTTTACTCCTGCCATAGAGACATAACATGTTTTCTACTACTGCTGTTATAGAAATATAACATATAACATAGTCACTACTGCCATTGTAATAAAAACTGAACATGTTTACAATTGCTTTTTTAACATAGAACATGTTTACAAACATGTTTACACTTACAATTTTGATAAAGAATATGACAATGTTTACAGTTACTATGTTGAAATCTTTTCGATAAATAGAAACATAACATGTTAACACATCATTGCTTCACCAATAAATAAAAGTTTAACAAACGTTATTTCACTCAATGGACATTTTACTTACAATGACTTTCGTAGAAATTCATCCTTATATAGATTTTACGTTGTACTATGTCCAAACTGAAAAGATTTCTAACTATCGTATCTTTACACTTTTTGAAGACATTCTCTGACAAATCATTCGAATGATTGGTTTACGCTTGTCTTGAGATTTCACATTTTGGAACCAAGCATCTACATTGCAAACATGGCTTTCTAATGTTTGAATCCTAGCATCCTAATAAGAGTGTATGATAACCATCAATGTGATCCTACAAGAAATGATGTTTCTTATTCGACTATTACCATCAAAATCATCCGTGTTTGTTTGACAATCAGGTGTAATGGTTAGGTCATGTTTCACTCTTGATTTGGACTTTGCATGTTTTCGGTAGATTGGGAAGTTCTACCAAGTTGTGGTTGTGGTGATAGCGAAACATTGTGAGCTTGATTCGACTGTGCTGGAGGTAGCGAAATATTACCATACAGTTTTGTCGCTTGCCGATCCAGCAGGTTGGTATGACTATGAGTTTGTACTTGATTCGTCCTTTTTGAAATACTGGTCAGACCAGACAATTATCGATTTTTTCCCATTACCACAACAAATGTATATTTACAACCAATCAGATTTAATATGCATTGTAGACTCGGCCAATTTCAAAGATTTTAAGCAACCAGTCCAGGCGATATTTAGTCGAAAGTCAAAATTGTTCGATATTCGTCAGTGTACACCTATGGTTCCAGAATTTGGTAACGGTTACTGGTTGGTCTCCTATGTACAAACATGAAATTGCCTACTTTCTTCTAGTGCCTCAAACTCTTCACAAGGGATACCATCTATTTGATCTTGCCACCTTGAGTTGATCTCTCTGAAGTAAACATATCTACATGGGTCACAAAGCTGTATTTTTGCCAAATTGTCATGGCAGCAGTATAAGCCTTCCCTGTATAAAGTGTCGATGACCATTCCCTATCATATCTGTATCACAGACTGAAAACTGGGGTGAAAAATTGAAGGTAGTATCACCATCTATGTCTCAACGCCCCAAACTTCTGGGTCAGCATTGCGTGGTACAGCATGAGCAACACCGTTTCCACTCAGATATTATTTGTAATCTGTATATTTTGAATTAAAATCAACTCTATGGATATTAACTACATATGGACACGTAATTCTCAAAAAACATAACTTACATGTGATCTTCATCTTTGTCAGCTTCTTGCAAAACGTCCAACGTGTTTTTTACTTCAAGGCGTACACTTCTTACAATGAACGGGATTTCCATCTATAATACCGAAGATCAAAGGAAATTTAATCATACATTTAGATACAATAATCTCGATGTATTTCATTTAAGTCACGAGTCATGTAAACTAGTCACAGTCAGGCACTCACTAGGCACCACGCTTAGTAATAAGGTCATAATCTTGTATGTTCACAATAACCTGCCACATTGTAAACATGTCACATTCAGACAATCACAAGGTACATTACGCTTTGTGATAAGCTCATAATCCTGTATGGTCACAATAACACTGTCAAATTGTAAACATGACACATTCAGACAATCACAAGGTACATTACGCTTTGTGATAAGCTCATAACCCTGTATGGTCACAATAACACTGTCACATTGAAAACATGTCACATTCAGACAATCACAAGGTACATTACGCTTTGTGATAAGCTCACAACCCTGTATGGTCACAATAACACTGTCACATTGTAAACATGTCACATTCAGACACTCATAAGGTACATTACGCTTTGTGATAAGGTCAGAAGCCCACGAGGTAAATTAGGCCCAGTAATATGGTTATAAATGGTTACAGTGTGAATACACTTGCATAGTAATTTAGTAAATGTGTCCTCTTGGTAAAGTGGTCACTACCATTTGACCAAGTCAATTAGTCACAACCTTTTGCCCACAGCTGCATCGAGCAGCAAAACTTGGTCGACATTTCAAGTAAATAACAAACTTTTAGATCGTGTAAATAGGCTGTAAGTCTGTCTATTTGGTCAGGAAGTAGAATGGTATGTTATTTTGTTGTGTGCTTGAGTTCAAACTTTCTTTTATATAAAGAAGACTTTAGCATCTGTAATTGAACCCGGAAGTGAGGCGGCATATATACTAGTTTTGTATGAATTCCCACATCCTTGGTCAAATTTACTAAGGAAAAGCTCTTCTTCTTCCCCACCCTCCTTCCCACATAAAGTGTTGGATAACCATATCTATTATCAACAAATATTCTGTTTTATATTAACAGCATGTTAGGGTGTTGGTGGGGGAAGGTCTCAGGTTGATCCGGACTGGATTATTAGCAAATTGCGATGACTGAATAATAGCAGTTGTATTGATTGGTGTTAGAACTTTTTCTTCAATTTTGAAAAGAATTGATCGAAGAATGACACATGATATATTTTTAAAAATAAATATGTTTTACCTTTTCTTTTGTCTAAAAGACTTAAAACAATGATGTACACACATAGTAACGTACTTATTTTATCTTTAATGTAAATAAATGTATATTTATAAGCTCATACATAGATAGTCCATCAAACTATATTGTGCAATTATTTCGAGGGAATTTCCAACAATAGACCAAAGGGGACTCGACAACAATCATTTTTAGGAGAGTGGTAAATTGGTCACAATAATTTGTACGTATCGTGCAATTATTTCGAGGGAATTTCCAACAATAGACCAAAGGGGACTCGACAACAATCATTTTTAGGAGAGTGGTAAATTGGTCACAATAATTTGTACGTATCGTGCAATTATTTCGAGGGAATTTCCAACAATAGACCAAAGGGGACTCGACAACAATTATTTTAAGGAGAGTGGTAAATTGGTCACAATAATTTGTTCAAATACTAAATTGGTCACGATATTTTATCATTAGGTAAATTGGTCACAGTTATTCAATTACAAGCTATCTTGGTCACAATATAATTACAAGGTAAACTGGTCACAGTAATATGGTTACAAGGTCAAATGGTCATGGTAATTTATTCATAAGATAATGATCACAGGGTAAAATGTTTTCAGTAATTTGGTCACAAGATTTTATAATAATATTCATTTGCATAAAAGGTTAAAATCACATTTATTTGGTCACAATATAAATAGGTCACAATAATATATCTTTGAGACTAATTGGTCACAAAATAAAAAGGACATAGTAATTAGTTAAAACGTAATTCAACACCATGTATATAGGTCACTGTCATTTGATTACTTGATTAATTTGGCACAAGGTAAAAAAAACAACAACCAGGCGACAAGCATTGTGGGCATATAAGAATTTTTAGAAACACAAAACTACAATCTATTCAATAAATATACAAATGCTGACAACCAAACAAAGAAAATACATAGTAGTATAGATATTTTACAGTGGATCAATTTCAAATATTTCTGATTGTCCTACAATTTTAACAAAAAGATACTGCGTAGTTTTAGACAATCTTCATTTCCAGAATGTCATTAACATTGTCACCCTAATTCCAAGTTTTGGTTAAATCTGTACATAATTGTGCCTTTTAGAATAAATAAACTAAGAACTAAGGATCCGATATTTTACGTTTCCCATTTTCAATAGAGTTTATCTTTGGGCAATAATATGGTACAATATACATTTTTCCACTCAAGCTCAAGGGCTGGCTGCAGACTTCATCGTTATCAAGTTGTAATGATGTTTTTTTTTTAGAAACTGGTCACAATTCTAGACATCACTCGATGTGGTTCCGTTATACTGGTTGATTTTAGAAAGATTTGAGAAGATTTTTTTTAGATCTATGGTTTGTCTGTATTCGTAAAACCACGATTTTCAAGTCTAACTCTCTCAGTCAACTCTACTAAATCTCCTCTGTCAATGCTTTGGAAAGCTCTTTTAAGAAGCCCGTATCTCTCTTGACGATGACTCTTAGTTTTTTGTAACCACTTAACTAATACAACAAAGTTTGCATCAAATCCATTGGTTTTGTCGCTAATAATTGTTATATCTGCATGGGAGAATCCTAAACAAATGGCAAGTTCTTTACCAGTTGCATTACCATAGGTTTTGGCCAGCATCATCATGCTTTTTTCAGAAAACATTGGATCTGAAAAACACAAATGACATTCAGATAATCTACCCCTATTACAAATACAAGGTTCGCCATTTATGGGCACTAGTAAAACGTGTGCCCAGTTCGCTAGATCTAGTTAATTTATGCTGAACAATCGAAGCCAGAAGTCAGATTTTATCCTATATAATAGACAGGAACGTTAATAAAAATTTGGGTTGTTTCACATTCTGACGATGACGGACCTTGTACTTAGTAGATTCGTGAACAGGCAAGCAGGAGTGAAGCGACTCTTGACTCTCTTAATGAAAGAAAATATATGAAACAAAATGATGAGTCACAGCCCAATACGATTGTATGATAACCACCTATGTGGTCTTACAAGATATGTCGTAATCAAATTTTACCTTCAAAAGACTTAGTTTCTGTTTGGTCAGAGGGTAGGGAGAGCTTAAGTGGTGGTTTCAAAAAATAACTGGGCTGACGTGTCATTTCCCGATTCAGCTGGCTGCTTTCACTACATTTAATCTTTCCTTGATTTAGACCTCTCGTGTTTTGGGGAGACTGGGAAGATCTAGCAAGTTGTGCTGAAGGTAGCGAAATATTACCAGACAGTTTTGTCGTTTGTCGATGCAACAGATTGGTATGACTATGAATTTGTCCTTGATTCGTCCTGGTGGTATTTTTGGAAGATTGGTCAGACCAAGCAATTCTAGGTCCTTTCCTCTCAATACCAAAACCTGTATTCTGTCTTTGTGTTTGTTTTCTATCATCGCTTGGTTGCGTCAATGACTCTTGCGCCTGGTTCTTTGTTGGTACCAAAAGATTTTTCTTCATTGTTACAGGATCAAAATGTACTGGATGAATTTCTTTGGACTTTGAAAATTCATATTCAATAGCCACATAATGCGGCGAACACATCCTACTTTTCTGGACAATTGGGAAAATAAAATGATTTGATTGACAAAATTTGTCGAACTTCAGATAAAATGTAGACTTGCATAATCCTGGAGGGAACTCTATATTGAGTTTAAGTGCTACATGTACACGCTCCTGGTTCTTAATTTGCATATCAGGTGAATAACTGTATGGTAGTTCTGTGAGACCTTCTGCTTCTCTTTTCTTCCTGATTTCATCTTTATTTTTTGATAGAACCAATTCTACCCACAAACTTGGCTGTCTTCCGAGTATTCCAAAAGTGTAAAAAGTTAAAATGTTACAAGCTTCAGATTTTCCCGATATAATTTCAACTGCATATAAGGTATCTTCTATTCTTGTATGTCTGTTTGCTATCACCACCGCTGCACTGAAATTATTTCAAATATATTAAGCGGTTTCTTTGCTTCCCTCAAATCTGCCCTATCCAGTTCCTCCGATGATGGTATCAGATGATATCAGAGCTGGGTTTAGCGCCAGAAGTATATTGTCGATTTTCATGGGTTTTCAATTTTGGGTCGCTAGTTTTTGGACAAATCCGACCCCAACGAGTTCCTCCGAAGTGATATTCGGATGGGACAATGTCGATATTCATGGGAATTGCTAAATGGTCGCCAGTTTTTGAGAATTTTCACCATGACAAAAGCCCAATTTCGCAGAACTTTTGGTGTCTATACAAAGGCTGAACCATTAATAAGTTGATCACGACATTGCCAGTGTACCACAATGTCCCTGTGCCCCACACGGTACCAAAATACAGTCGATGGGTAGACATAACTGAACATACCCCTTGGCAGTATATTGGTACCGTGTGAGGCACGGGAACATCGCAGAATATATGGCAATATCTGATCGACTCATTCATAGTTCAGCTTTGTATAGATACCAAAGATTATGCCTGATTGGGCTTTTGTCATGGTGAAAATTCTTATAAACTGGCGACCATTTAGCAACTCTCATGAATATCGACATTGTCTCATCCGGATATCACTTCGGAGGAACTCGTTAGGGTCGGATTTGTCGGGGTACCTCGTGGTGTGCTTCGATTCTAAGGTATTAGTATCCGAATGTTTATCAGGGATCTAATCATTGGATAAAATATAAGGTTTTAAATTACTAGGGTTTGGGAGCAAGGGTAAGAGAAATACTTACTCTGAGAAATGTGATACTGCTGTAGAATAAACATCAGGTTCTACTTCTGATAAAATATCATTCAATATTTCAGGTTGAGTTCCATTCCATCGGATAAATAGTGGTTGAAAATCGTCTTCATTGGGTATGGTTGAAGACATTGGAAGCTGGATTTTTACATTTTTATTAAAATCTTTGGTATGTTCATATTTTACACTTACAACATCAGACATGTTAAGGATGGTATTAAACAGTTTGGGATTATATTCTTTTAATTCGCGGACCCTCTCTTGATCTATTGGTAATATCTACAATATAAATACTGGTTAGGAAAACATTGAAAACAAACTTGAAATGTCAGCATGAAATAACTCGGACAGTTTTCTTTAAGGTTTGATCGTAGTGGTAATGGTTTCTTTGGCTTGGGTTAAACCAAACATTCACACAACTCACAGAGCTACATAAATAAACAAACGCTAACCGCTCTGCAACATATCACGGTAATGAAAGGCGACCATTATTTACAAGAGCTATGTCAATATTTTTACGTGATCGCGTGGTCCTGGTAATTTAAAATATCAGAGGCTGGTCGTGCAGGACTACGAGTATTTATATGTAGACGGTTTGGTTAAAAGGTCAAAATGCTCCAAAAAAATGTTGTTTCGTATGTTGATAATTATCTACCTGAATTTCTATGTCTGTATTGTGATCAACAGCCCCCTTGGGGAAATCCAATTTCAGTCTGGTGTCAAGTTCGGAAACGAATTCAAAACCTTCTTCTGTAACTGTTACCTTTTCACTTATCCTTCTGGCTATAGCACATATTGACGATATCTCCATATAATCTGGTAGTTTGGTCAATGAGGTACCGTTCTTAAAATATAAATTATTATGTGGGTCGAATTGTGTCCGTTCAGTCTAGTTAATTGAATAATTAATAACGAAAAGAGAGTTTTACAATTAATAACGAAAAGAGAGTTTGAGCAAGTAATGTACCTATTCTAGAACTTGCTTTGAGGCGTGGAGTATACTGCAGGTCGATAAAAAATCAACTTGCTAGCTGGATATGATTATATCGCTTGAGTAGTTGAAGAAGTATTTTATTTACCGAGCATTAAGATATCAATAATTTAGCTCTAAACAAATGTATACACACAATAAGAATACGCTTCCAAATATTTAATGTTTTGAACAAAACTACGCATGCTAAGTAAGTTATTTGTTCTTCCATTGGTCAGACTCGTAGCCAGATTTGATTGCTCGGAGTGGGGGAAGGGGGAGGAGTTTCGTTGCAGTAATGGAATTGGTCGGTTGTCATTTTTTTCGATATCGAATTTCATTTTTTCCTTGCCCCTGTAGCTATGGGCCTGCTTTTGGCAGTTCTTTACAAATACTTACTGAAGTGGTCAATGTGGAAGGAAGGGTAAGCCATCTATTGTCTGTTTCAACTAATAGAAAATATTCAAAAATAGCATGATGAGAAATATGTGTTTTGGGTAGATTTACTTTAACTTCCACTGATACCTCTGTTGCGGTGAATAAACCTGTTGTTCGGTAGATGTCTGTTATCTCAAAATCATCTTCAGTGAGAGGTATTTGGTTCATTTTTCGATCTTCAGCAGTCCATCTGACGAATGTGATATCGTTAGATTGGTATCTCTGTGCATCTTCTTCAAGTACAATCACAGCAATTTCTGAATGGAGCTTCAGTTCTTTGAATATTTTGCTTCAATTTGGAAAAAAATACGATGAAATTACTTTTGAAGGGATTTTTAAAGTGGTTTGCTTAGTGTGTATGTTCACCTAAGAAAGCTAAGAAAGATTCAATTTGCACCATTCGGGTTTTGACCTCAGCGATTCTTCGCATAAAAATTCTAATAGTAAAATAATTTGCATATACGCACAGCTCTAAATGAATGTTTTTTTCACTATTACTAGTTACAATTTTGCAAAAAAAAATTGAATAAATATTGTTTTTAAAGACATGAAGAATTACAGATTAATCTGTCTGACTGATTTCACAACCAGAAACAAAAAGTTAACAGTTTTATTTCCCAGTTGTCAATCATCATAATACCAAAACTTAATTCGCAAAATATTGAAAAGAAAATGCATTGCTATCATTTTATTGCATTATGTCTTATATTGTTAAAAAGAAGATAAAGAGTACATTCTGATTATGAAAACCATGTTGATTGGGGAAATACATATTATAAATTTAACTGTAATCGAAAAGTTCCACTATTTTTAAGAATATGTTTATAAAATTTTGTCATATATTGTTGAAACTTTAAGGGCATTAATAATCTGAAAAAATCCCTTTCCTGATTAGAGAATGTACCGCAGTCGTCAAAAGTTACCCAAAAAATATCAATTTACGGATGGCAATAAAATCAGAAGTTAATGTCTGACAATCAATATCAGCGAGACCATGGACATTTATTTTTTGAAAAAAAGAGTGTCTATTAAAAATACGATAGATAACCAATATCAGCGAGACCGTGGACAATTTTTTGTAGAAAATTTCTTTTTTATCATAAATAAGGTAAATAAAGAGATTGACACAAAATATTTATTCCCCTAAAAAAGATAGGTGACACTGATGGTTTAAAATAAGACATTTACCAACCTTTCTTCAATTTGACTTATGTTGTCATCGGAACTTTCTTCGAAATCATCACTTGGATACGAAACAGAATACATGGACGCATCATCAGAGCTGTGAAAACAAAATGATAATATTCCAATAGTAGCGATAGAAGAAAGCATATACAACACAACACATTTTCTAGCTTATTATGACGAATTTGAACCGTCAGTCATAATCTTGGCTCAAATTTGTTGCATCCCATGAAAATTTGAGACTAAGGTACGATTATTCAAAAGAATGGCACAGCTATTCCTTTAAAGAGCAACCAGGTTCAGTATAAAAGTGCGAAATTAAAATAACCTTTCTGATAGTGACTCAAACACTTCACACAAATCACCATCTATTTGGTCTTGCCAAGAATTGTTGGTCTCTCTGAAGTAGTAATAATAAATACATTAATTAACCAGTCGGCAACGCTGATTACGGAATTTATAATCACTGATAAGGAAAATCTTTTTAGAAAAAAATTGTGCCTCAACTTCTAAGGTTAAGATCTATCGCAAAGCACACAGTCGATCATATACTTTATTTTCTATTTTTTTTAAAAATTCCAAGAAAAGTATTTATATTTAAAGAATTCAATTTTGTTACAAAAAAGGTAAACATTGTTAGGGGTTCAAGAAGTCGGAAACATCGGTTCTGTTATATTTTGTCAGTCGGCTGGATTAGGGTCAGAAAACCTTAAGCCCTGTTTTGTTGAGGTTTTCCGCGCCTCAGAGATAACATTCGTTAAAAATAAATTGACGGAACTGCAGACGTGATATAAATGGTGTAAGGGGATAATGATGGTATGACTGATCTACAAATATATCCATCTTTGCGAATCTAGCAAAGTTTAGACTAAAAGCAATCCCCATACCTATAAACTATGAACAAGACATTCTATATTACCCAGGTTGCTGTACTGGAAGAAACTTAAACTACATAACTTACATGTTATCTTCATCTTGGTCAGAATCTGACAAAATGTCCAATGTGTGTCTCACTTTATCACGAACATTTTTAACAATGAACGGTCTTTCCATCTGGAAAATCGAACATTGACGGAAATTTGTAAGTATCAAGTAGACATAATTATAAATTTGGAACTTTGCGTATTTCATTTAAACTTTGGTCATGGTAATAGAATAAAAATGAACGAACTTTTCCAATATCTTGACATCACTAGGCATTTTCTTGTAAAATTTTTGTATGGAATAAAAATAAAGTTTATTCCCTTCTGTCAAAACATACAATGTAGACCAAAGAGACTCTATCAAATCGCTTAAGTCTATCTGTTGAGGGCTTTGATTGGCTGTATTCGCTAGGGTACAATCAAATCGCACACTTCCATGATACAAGAAAGGTTAATAAAACCATAGTAAATTAATCACAGTTAAACGCTCACAAGGTAATTTAGTCACAGTAATACATTCACAAGGTAAATAATTCACAGTAACACGGTCACAAGGTAAATTAGTCACAGAAACACCGTCACAGGGTAGTCACAGTAATACGGCCACAAGTAAATAAGTTACAGTAATACATTCACAAGGTAAATAATTCACAGTAACACGGTCACAAGGTAAATTAGTCACAGAAACAAGGTCACAAGGTAAATTAGTCACAGTGACATGGTCACAAGGTAAATACGTCACAGTAGTACATTCTCAATGTAAATAAGTCACAGTAACATGGTTACATGTTAAATCAATCTCAATAACGGTCACAAGATTACTGAGTAATACAGCATTACACTCAAAGAGTAGATTAGTCAAGGAAATAAAGTCACGAGATAAATTGGTTGTAGTAATTGTTCACTTACATGCAATATTAGTCACTGTAATAAAATCACGAGATAAAGTGGATAGTAATTCTTCACTTACAGGCTATATAAGTCACAGCAATAAAGTCACGAGATAAATTTGTTGTACAGCAATTGTTCACTTGCAGAGTATGTTAGTCACAGTTTTAATTTCACGAGAAATTGGTTGTAGTAATTGTTCGCTTACAGGGTATATTAGTCACATTAACAAAGTCACGAGATAGTTAAAGTAATCTAATACTTAAAGGAAGATTTACAAAAAATATTTACAATGATAAATAAAACACTATTCCTGGCCATTCAGCCAAATCGGTTTATTATGTCAGGAAGATGATCTTTATGTGTTTTGTGAATTATGCGACCAAGATTGGTTGATTAGTTAAATATTGTAACTAAATTTGGGTTCTATCCACTGTAATAGGTAAATTTTGAAACCTTTGTCTGGAATGCTATCAGGCCCGTAACTACAATATGACAACTGTTTATATATAAACACCATACTAATGAACACCATACTACTAATGCTGGATAACACCATAACAAAATGACAATTGTTTATGAACACCATGCTATTTATGCTGGATAACACCATGAACAAAATGACAATTGTTTATGAACACCATGCTATTTATGCTGGATAACACCATGAACAAAATGACAATTGTTTATGAACACCAAGCTATTTATGCTGGATAACACCATGAACAAATCGACAATTGTTTATGAACACCATGCTATTTATGCTGGATAACACCATGAACAAAATGACAATTGTTTATGAACACCAAGCTATACTTATGCTGAATAATGTTCATGTACAAAATGACAATTGTTTAGGAATAAAATAACGTAGATTTTCGACGACTCCATGCAACTGAACACTTGCAGTTGTGATTGTTTTCAGGGAAGGAAATGACGAAGATAGATTATTAATTATCGCAATTACTGTATCAAGTACATGTATTCAGTTAATTAAAAAAAAAAAATCAAACTTCAGTCTTACCGTAAAAATCTTGTTTTATAGCCTTTAAAAATGGTGCGCACACTAAACCAGTTTTATTTAATCTCTACTTATAAATATAAGCTCATAAACAAGGCCAACGTAGGTTGCATATCGAGTTACTCACAAATATAGAATAAAGATTAATTTAGGGGAATTTCATAGTTTGGGAGAGTCCATAAGGCATAATTCAAATTATTCCTCTGATGATATTCCACGTAACAGGATAGGGGTTAGTTTTTTAAAAGAAAATATAAAAAACACTTTCCTGTGGCGGTGCCTTGTATTAGAAACGCTATGAGAATCCAAAGAGTGAATATTATCATAAGCTAATAATACATCACCCTAAACGACCAGTGGTGAAGCCAAAGGAGGGGCAGCCCTTTGAGTCTTCAAATCCATGTGTATCCATAATTATTCACGTTTGAAAGTTACAAATTTGACTCGAATTTAAGTCAGACTATGCCATATATAGAAAACACATATATAGGAATAGACAGTGAAATTTCTAGTTTGGGGTATATTTGAAGGGATTATGCGATTTTCATGCGTTTTAGTATTTCTTAAGACTATTAAAGCACAATAAAGACCCAAACTATCCCCGAAAATGCCGACTGCCGAAAAGCAAATGTACATGATCATTATTTACAATCATTTTGACATATGTTAACACACTGTGACCCAAACATTGAAGCATACAAAGATAATTAAAAAGTCGAAATATCTGTTTTAATCCTGAAAATTCAATAGAATAATACTGCTGACAGAAGTTTAGACTATCATTACTTCCAGAATGTCATTAATATTGTCATCGGTCGTTGGTAAAAACAGTTGATGGTAATAACGGCCTGGAAATGATGATAGCTTTGTTTTCAGTTGAATCGTGTGCATTGTTTTTTCTGTATTTCTGTAATTTCCAGCTTTATTCAGCTTTTTAACTGTATAATTACAAAAATATTAACCACATCTTTTTTCAAAAATTCAATGTTGCATCTGCCTTTTAAATTGTCCAAGTTGAAGAATGCTTCAAAAGATTTTCACCGAAGAAATTTGATTTTATTTTGGTGTAGAAAATTAGCGTTGATAAGACATTTGAAAAATATAAGAAATAATCCGTATCGCCAGTTTTTAAAGGTTTAGATGTATTCAATTTTCGTTTTTATACGCCCACATTATATTGTGACGCATATTGTCTTCGCCCCTGTCCATCCACAATTGTCTTGTACACACGATAGAGACTACAGTTTGTGGTGTGATTATTCATATTGACGATGAACGGTTTTTGAGTTATTGCCCTTGATTTAGTAAAAACGTGTCAAAATCTCTTTGTGAACACAATAGAAACTACAGTTTTTATTTGATTTTAATTAAATTTGGTGTGATAATCTATAACAATGAGATCTTTGTCAAGTATATTGGGTAGGCTGCAGTGTTTAAAAAAACTAAAAAAAAGTCGCCCGTTACACCTTTTTAAAAGCAAAGACGACGACGCCACTGAGCATATGAATTAAGAAGCAGTTTAAAATTAACGTGGTTTCTCTTCTTGGACTACATATCAACAACTAAGGGAGGTCCCTCTAACAAGAGTTTACATAATATGAGTTTACAATATATCAGTGCGAATGTAGTGCTATTTTTTCTCTCAGTTTTGGGTTTTTTGCATGCCTATTTTGACTAATTTTGATCTAGAATTGGAATTGATGTCTTAAATTGCATTTTCTTTCAGATTTTGTGAGATGATGTTAGATTTATAGGCGAAGGCTATTTCTAAAAATAGTGGTTTTGTGAGCAACTGTGTGTTGATATCCGGCAGTGGTCTACTTTCAATTTGACTGGTTCAAAATTCTAATGGTCATTATATATTGATTTGTTGATAAGTATTGGTCAGGTGACTTATTGGATAGTTTTTAACGAGATTTCTAGAAAAGGTTATGGGAGGTTGAATTTTCAGATTTATCATGGAAACAGATGGCAAATGAATTACTGGAGTGAGTCCATGTTGTATTGAAAACAATATATGCCATAATACAGCCTACATAGTGAATTGACAATACAACACATATTTTGGGGCGAAAATCTGTTAGAAATTAGGGGATTAGGGGAACAAATCCTTTTTCTAGCCTACCAACAATGGCACAGGGACCTTTACTTTACTGTTGTATCCCTCATCAAGCATTATAAAGTAACAGAAGTGTTCCTATTACATACAATTTGAAAGTCTCTCCATGCTACAATTGGTGCTTTGACCTCTTGCGTGTTTATCAATGCCACAGACTTTATTCTGAGCTTTTTTTAAATCAGCGAAAATCGGTATTGGTTTGGGCCTCCTTGGGAATTGCCGGTAGCCAACGATTTAAAATGGCTACAGGAAAAAAAAACACCGCATCCCTTTCTCGTGAATATTCAGCCATAGATTACTTTGGTAACTTAGTAAAGAATTACCATAAACACACAGAGGTTCAATCTCATCCACATTCTGTTTTTGGGCTCATGGTATAATCAATATAACTGGGTTGAATATTCACAAGAAAGGTTTGCTGTGTGGTGGATACGTATTGCAATTTGGATTGGCTGATCAAATATATATATTACCGGTAATGTTAGGTTCAAATTTGCCAAAGCGTGTCATTTTTTCTTTCTCTGTAGACTAAGGAAACATTATAAATTTTTGAGTCATTTTCTTCAGAAATAGTAAGATATCTATTGAAGAGTCTATTATCGTTAAATCATTTTATTCAGAACTTTACGTTACGGCACCATTAGCCACGAGTTCCATTTATTGCACAGATTCAAATGTTTTCACCTTTTTTGAGGTTGCTGTAAAACAAAAAAATATTATCTTTATTACAAATGCCTGGTATAAAATCCCAATCAGAAAAAACCTCTCCAACTGACCTAACTGGACGTAGAAAATGATCAGAAAATGGTTAAGGTTAATACAATAAACACTAATTTTTCTTATTCGGCACCGAAACTAAAGAGTTATAGTTATTTAATTATTATTTTGACATTTTGAGCATTTTCTAAACTTCTGGTTGGCGTGGTTGAGTGGCTACGGTTTAATACCAGCCTTATTGACATTTTATACGAAGACAATGAATCGTATAACTAATATACATGTAAAAACTCAACCGACGGTTGGTACTTCAATGAACTTAACCTACATCAACAACAGTTACTGTTCCAGCCTACAGTTTCTTACGTTGTACAAGGATATGTATGTATTTACTATCTCATTTACAAATGAAATCATTTGATTTCGGATGATTTGGCACATAAATCACCTTCTTGGGCTTCTTAATATATACTCTGCTGTGCTTATTTGCATATGTCGTTAGAATTTCAACAGCGCTCGTATATGAGCAAAGCTAGAAACCATTGGTTATTTGAAAGGTTCATTACAAAAATCTATGAAAGACGGTTTGTCTGATGAGATTTAGTAATCCACAGTAATTTCAGTATAGATTATAAATGATGATTTTTTTACATACCTGAGCGTAATCTTCGCCTGCAGAAAACATGTCTATCAGCAGTATCACCAGCAGTCCAAATCCATTTAGCTTCACTGGATATAGATGTTGGTTCGTTTCCCCATTGGCTGTGTGTCTGTATAGTGGCATTCTGCCATTCACTATCATCAAATCTAAAAGATAAACATTAATTTAAGATTAACAACAATGCTGAGATGTGATTATTGACACAAATTAGCAATAAGATTATAAATATCAACAATATTAGCTCCAAAACGGATGAAGAGTAAACAAACTCAAGTCAGTGGACCATACATCCCAACACGGATATTTTTCTCATCCGTCAAAACATAAACACAACCAGTCCATTACAATTTCAAGGGTATAAAAGGTGTGACATTAAAATGGTTTGACTAATCCCTCAATGAATAAGATTTATATGTATTCGACTTGGTTTATTCACAATAAAGTAAACATTTTAAAATTTGTCCGAAATAATAGCATAAAAAATCACTGAGAAATAACAAGAATATTTCTTTGTCGGTTGTCTCTCTATTTGTCATTGTCATTCTATTAATCGATCCTTTAAAGCTTTCCACAACAAAGAACAAATTAAAAAAAATAATAGTAAATTGACGTTAGATATTTAAGAAGAATTATTGTGTTGAAGGCAGCAATAGTGTACAACAATGATGCTACATTCGTCCATTCCTTTCACACAATTCTTAAAAGTCTTGTTGTTCACACAGGTTTGGGTGTGGTTTTTGACCGACAAAGAAATTTTTCTCCCTGATATTTTTATGCTATGTCGGACAAATTCTAAAATGTTACTTTAATGTGAATAATCTTCTTAACTCTATAATTCCATTCTAAAAATTTTGGTAAATTTTATTTATACATATTCATATATATATTGTTTGAAAGTTGTGAACATTTTTATTCTATTCGACTTTTCCTCCAAGTTAGAACTTACACAAGAGTCGCAACAATATTTTCATGTTACATAATCTTTTTAACTCTTATAATAATCTCTTAATTAATAGGTTTTTTTTACAAATTTTTTCTCAAACTTTGTTAATGCATATTATTTGATATATTTATTTAAAGCTGTGACAAAGGGCATTATGAATCTGTTCGAATTTTTCCGCTTAGCTAATTAGAACACAATCAAGAGGCGATATCAATATGAAAATGACCTAAAATCAATAATGCATATTTCGAAATCTTTTTAGATAGACTAAAATAAAGATATTGTTAGAAAGCTTATGGCAAGTACATTACAATAATGAAAAAGTCAAAGTTAATGTTAAATAATCCCCTGAAGATACGGAAAATATGCAAATTACCCATTTTCAGAGTCGTATAAATCAAAAGATAACGTACCAAAATCACAAATGACAATCTAGTTAAATTAAAGATGGGGTTTATGGAAGCTATAAATGTGGCCTGGTAGAAAAAAAAACTTTTACAGGAAATTGTGCAAAGACAAAGTCGAAATTCAAAAAATGACTTCTAGAGGACCGAGGTATTTTTCTTACTTACATTTTATAACAAGTTCGATGGATAAAAAAATGTAATCTGCATTAATTTTTTAAGATTTTTTGCTTTTTTCAAGATGGCAGCTAAATGGTTAGGAATTTGCATATGCGGCAAAGGCACAAAATGAATTTATTTATGGTACAAATTTTGTTGAATCACAAATTAGCAAGTTTTTGTAAAACATAATCCGAATATTCTGACATTTGTGATATTTGTGGCCTTTTTCTGACATGTTAGAGTTTTGATCATAATTCAGTATAAAAAGTTAGTGACAAAATATCGACACGGTAGACTGTTTGGAAATTATTTCAAGAATACACACAGAAATTTTGAGGCAAATCGAACCAAAAAAAGCATTTTATGGCGGATTTCTGAAATTAAGGAGTTTTCCACTACACCATTTCCAGTCTGATGTCTGGAAATATATTCAAAAGGTTATTCCGCGGTGTGAAATGTCCGACTCAATGCCAAAAATGTTCTCAGTATTACGCTTTTTGCAAGGTACTCTGACAACAATATGAAAAAATAAATAAATAAAAAAAATAAAAAATATAACAATAACAATACAGCTTCGAGTCGAAATCTGTAAAAACTCGTAAATCTTCAGTTAACTCACTTAATTCATGCGCCCCCAATCCCCCCCACCCCCCTCGCTTTTAGACAATCGAATGTCAGGACATGTGCTGTATCTACGAACGAAACTGAATAATCGGCTTTCCAGTCATTTGTAGCCGTTTTTCAAGCTCACCATCAACAAAGAATTTTCCGATATGATCACATCCGTCTAGTCTAATTTTTTTGGGGGAAATATAAATCATACCTTAATTCTCTCCAGCCATCATCGTCTGAAGTTGAGCATTTCCATGCCGAATCAGTAACCATGCCATTACTAAATGAGCCTCGAATTCCTCCGATCACACCTTCATCCAGGCAATCGAATGCCAAGACTTGTGCTCTAGCAGGAAAAACAACCGGAAAACCAACTCGCCAATCATTTGAACTTGCTACAAGCTGACCATCAACAAAGAACTCTCCAATATTATCACATGTGACTTCTCCATATATACCATTGCCATTTACTGAAACTATCAATCAAAATCAATATTAGGTAAAATCATATTAGGTTTGCTGTACATGTTACTTCGTAGAGATAATCACCACCCAAGAAAAATATGAATAAAGGATTACATAAGGAATACATAATAGATGAAACATCATTGCATGGAATAATGGTTAATGTTGTATGTCGGTGCTACTGATTGAGTGTATAAAAACAGGATCGTTGCTTTCTGACACATACATGTTGGTTGTCTTGTTTACTACAGAATTAAAATCACTTTAAATTCCGCGACATTTCTATCGAAATCTATGATTTATTGAATTAATATTTTGACATTTTCAGCATTTTCTAAACTTCTGGTCGGCGTGGTTGAGTGGCTACGGTTTAATACCAGCCTTATTGACATTTTATACGAAGACAATGAATCGTATAACTAATATACATGTAAAAACTCAACCGACGGTTGGTACTTCAATGAACTTAACCTACATCAACAACAGTTCCAGATAAAACAAACTTGGCCTACAGTTTCTTATGTTGTATTTACCATCTCATTTACAAATGATTATTACAAGAATAATCCACCAGCAGACGCCTTATATTTAATTTCGGATGATTTGGTACATAGATCACCTTCTTGGGCTTCTAAATATATACCCTGCCGTGCTAATTTGCATATGTCGTTACAACAGCACTGGGCAAAGCTAGAAACCATTGGTTATTTGAAAGGTTCATTACAAAAATCTGTGAAAGGCGGTTTGTCTGGTGAGATATAGTATAGATTATAAATGATGATTTCTTGACATACCTGAGCGTAATCTTCGTCTGCAGAAAACATGTCTATCAGCAGTATCACCAGCAGTCCAAATCCATTTAGCTTCACTGGATATAGATGTGGGTTCGTTTCCCCATTGGCTGTGTGTCTGTATTGTCGCATTCTGCCATTCACTATCATCAAATCTAAGAGATAAACATTAATTTAAGATTAATAACAATGCTGAGATGTGGTTATTGACACAAATTAGCAATTAGATAATAAATATTAACTCCAAAACGGACGAAGAGTAACAAACACAAGTCAACAAAGAACTCTCCAATATTATTAATTAGAGTCGGCAACAATATTTTCACATTAACCCTCTATGAACTGCTGACCTGACATGTTACATAATCCTTTTAACTCTTATAATACTCTCTTAATTAATAGGTTTTTTACAATTTTTTTCTTAAACTTTGATAATGCATATTATTTGATATATTTATTTAAAGCTGTGACAAAGGGCATTATGAATCTATTCGATTTTTTCCGCTAAGTTAATTAGAACTCAATCAAGAGTCGATATCAATATGAAAATGACCTTAAATCAATAATGCATATTTCGAAATCTTTTTAGATAGACTAAAATAAAGATATTCTTAGAAAGCTTATGTCAAGTACATTACAATAATGAAAAAGTCAACGTTAATGTTATATAATCACCTGAAGATACGGAAAATATGCAAATTACCCATTTTCAGAGTCGTATAAATCAAAATATAACGTACCAAAATTACAAACGACAATCTAGTTAAAGGAGACGCAGAAGAAGGGGTTGTGGAAGCTTGTGGTTAAAAGTTATCACTACTTAAAATGTGGCCTGGTAGAAAAAAAACTTTGACAGGAAATTGTTCAAAGACTTAGTCGAAATTCAAAAAATGACTTCTAGAGGACCGAGGTATTTTTCTTACTATTTATAATAGATAATGTGGTCTCTACCCATCTCGTGTTTCGTGAAAATCAAATAAAAATTTAAAAAGTTAGAGTTTTGATCATAATTCAGTATATTCAGTGACAAAATTTTCGAATCAGGACTTTCAGAAACGACAGATAGTTTGGGAGTTTTTTCAAGAATACACCCAGAAATTTTGAGGCAAATCGAACAAAAACATCATTTAATGGCGGATTTCGGAAATTTTTCCACTACACCATTTCCAGTTGGAGTCTGATGTCTGGAAATATATTCAAAAGGTAAGTCCACGGTCTAAAATGTCTGACTCAATGCCAAAAATAGTTAAATAGATGTAATAACTCGTTAACTTAGTCGATTTTCAAGCTCGCCATCAACAAAGAATTTTCCAACATGATCACATCTGACTAGTCCAGATATAAATCTTTTGGGAAATATAAATCCTACCCTAATCCACTCCAGCCTTCATCGTCTGAAGTTGAGCATTTCCATGCCGAATCAGTAACCATGCCACTACTAAATGAGCCTCGAATTCCTCCGATCCCACCTTCATCTAGGCAATCGAATGCCAGGACATGTGCAGTATCCGGAAAAGAAACCTGAGAACCAACTTTCCAATCGTTTGAACTTGCTACAACCTGACCATCAACAAAGAACTCTCCAATATTATCACATGTGACTTCTCCATATATATCATCGCCATATACTGAAAATATAAATCAAATCAATAAAGGCACATATACATAGAAGTTTGCTGCACAGGTTACTTCCTAGATATAATCACCACCCAAGAGGAAATATGAATAAAGGAATACGTAATAAATCATTGAATTGAATGGTGGTTAATGTTGTATGTCGGTGCTCCTGATTGAGTATATAAAACAGGATCGTTGCTTTCTGACACATATTTTGAGCAAATGTCACGATTTAAACTAACTCGCACCTGACTTTCATATTTAATCAAAACGAGCCTTACTAATAATTTGGATGTATTGTACATATTCCTAATAATAAGAACCATCCAAATTATAAAGATAAGTTGCAAGGTAAACATACGCCCCACAGCAGCTGTATTAAGTTAAAGATCGGTTCCCCAATTTTGTCTTATTCTTTAAATCATATATTCAATTTGTGTATTGATCAATGTATTTTTCCATCTAATTTCAAACTTGCTAAAGTGTTACCACTTCACAAATGACGATCTAAAGTAGATCCAAACAATTAGCGACTTATATCGATATCACCGACATATTTGCAGTCATTAAAGCAATTTCATAAATAGATATGATGTAAAAAATATCAGTCCGGATTTAGATCTCTGATAATATTTATAAATCACTTAATGAGGGTTTACTAACAGGTTTTTTTTTTCGATTTCCGTAAAGCTTTTGATATGGTCAAACACGATTTACAAATTAAAAGAAGTAATATCTATAAATTTTCTCTCAATTCCAATAGATTCTTGAAATAATATTTATCAAACAGGATACAATCTACATTTGCCAATAGTACATTATCTTCTCAGCTACATATAAGTCATGTTATGTCACAGAGATCTATTTTTGGACCTCTTCTGTTTAATTTATTTATAAATGATCTCTCACTCCATATAGCCCTCCAATTGTAACTTGTTTGCTGAGGACACAGCAGTCTACACTGCTGCTAAATCAATTATTGAGCCACTGTTAAAACATCAATCTGAGACTACTTCTGTTGTTAAATAGTTCCAAACTAATTCAATGATTATAAATGTAAATAAAACTAAAGCTATATTAATCACAACCTCCTGAGAAGGCAACTATTGGTCAATTCGTTAAAACTGACTGTCAATAACTTAGATATAGAAAAAGTTTCCCCCTTTAAATTTCTTGGAATCTATTTTTAATCACAACTTTATCTGGACAGATCATGCTTTACACGTTTCCAAAATTCTTAATCAGAAACTTTTTCAATTTCTCTTATCAAATTTTGCCCGAAGGTTTTTACACTTTTGTTCATAAATACTCTGCCTGAATTTCTAATAATGCCACTGTTTTTTTCAGATTTAATAATGAAATTGTATCTTTGCCCGAATATACTATCCTATAACTGTATTTTTGTATTGGAATCGTAGCCCTATTGTATTTTGCTATAATAATATTTCATAACTCATTTCATTTGAGAATTGAAATCACTGCCCGAATGTCATGTCCTACAGCAATATTTATTGAAAAAAAATCGCTGCCAAGATATTTTTTGTTAAAACTTTCATACGTTAAAGGACATATCTCTAGATTTTTGTGTATAGTTTTCACAAATTTGACCAAAAAACTAATGGGTGGGCAACCTACGGCCGACAAGTAATGTTTTTGCGGCCCGCGACATGTCTCAAGAAAAAAACATTAATCTGTGTAAATAGATGGTTTCTAAATGCTTTGCATTTATTGGCACTAAAAACGCCCTTCAACATGCGCATCATCACTAATGTTTCGAAAATTGGTGTCATCTTTTTAATGTAACGTTCGATATTTGTTTGACCATGATCTGCATTATTAGGATCGATAATTGAACGCTGTTACTACGTTAGTACACTCTTCAGCTTCACTTGTCCGTGTCTTGGCGCGGAACAAGCGGTGGAATTCCTTCATTTTGCAAAGCCCATAGTTGGTCGTAGTCGTAGTCGGGGACCTGGCATTGAAAGCTAAACTTAGGTTGTTAAGCACATCTTCTTGATTTTGAAATTGCAACATCGCAATCGAAGCGTCCGAAGGACAGAAACGTGGCTCATTGCTTGTCAATACTTACATGAGCTGCGGTGGATCAGTGAGTTCGGTGGTTGCTGAAGGTCACATTTCTATCCCAGGTCGAGATAATGCCTTTGGATTTTCCAATCCGATTTCCCCCTGTCAGTGATGCAGGTCGGAAGGACGGATATATTCGTTCGGATGGGACATTAAACCGACGCCTTGTGTGCTACAGACAGTGCACGGTATTGATTTGTCTGTTCATATTTGAACATTTAAGACGTGAATCTGTGCAAAAAAAAAACCGAATATCTGAGACAGATGCAACAAAAAATAATCAATGATAACAAGAGAATGTCCATGTACATGTTCTATAGCAACATAGGTTTTATGTGCCACACATTGACATCAGGGTTTGAAGTAAACATCGATAATAGTATCGAAAAATCTTACCTTGTGTTAGAAGAATTGCGCAAATTGTCACTAAAATCAGATTCATCTTGATATTATTGAACATTTCGTCACTTGGTTGGATCCAAGTCAGAATGAAGTTATTACGAAATGTGCTTCGATATTTAAATGATTTCGTAACTCATAATTAGCCTAATATATATGTATATTAAATAATAAGAATAATTTACATTACCTAATAATGACTCACTGAAAAAAATCGACAGCACTTTGGAATTGGTACCAAATATATATGACAGTCTTTGCCAAGGGATAGCCTACGTCGCCGATATAGCAGACGAACCTATCTCCCAGTACATCAGAACGAAGATAAAACAGTCTGCGACGGCCGCCTTATGGCTTCAATACATGCAAATGGTGAATATCTTGAAGAAATTTGTAAAAGCGGAACGAACCGGTAATTGGAGTCTACATCTCCAATCTGTACAGCAAATGCTACCTTATCTTGCTGCAACAGGACATAATTTATATTTGGAATCAGCTTATGTCCATCTCCAGCAGATGTTAGATTTAGAACAGAAACAGCCGAATGTCTATTCCCAATTTTCACCAGGATGCCAAGTAATTCGTCAAAGCGATTGATATTGGACAGGCCTTTAAACCGATCTTATCATATGAGGGAGGTTGCTGCAGATATCGGACCTGATAAGTCAAATTTAAGGTACCTACATTGTTCCACACTATAACAGATTGTGATACAGTATTTGCGACTTGTTGCGCTTGATAACATCACTGAGTGGTTTTGATTTGTCTACCAAACGCTCCATTGCAAAGGAGTGGAAGTTTTCTTTGCCAATTTTGAGGACATTTTTTTCAGAATCTCGGCTGCTGTTTCATTCAATAAGCGTAGCACCAGAAGGACAGTGCTCAAATCTTCAAAATGGTTTTTCATTCCGATTAAAACACTACCTGACGCAAAAGTGACATGAAAGACATGTATTTGGGGCATCACTCTCCTGTGTGGCTTTGATTTCAAGAATAACAAAATGTTAGGTTAAGCAGATAAATTTGACTTTGCTGCCGTTGAAATTCAACATGGCGACAGTTGTATCCACTCATGTATGTACACGGATTTATAGTTGACCGAGACCAGACATATTGATACTAAAACACTATTGATGGTCGTCATTTGTAAATTCAACATGGCGGCAGTTACAGCTACTTGAAACTTAAATCATTGCATTCCTTGACCACCAAAATGTAACATTAGGAATGGGTTTACAATTATAAATGGATTTATAGTTTAAATAGATCCAGAGATATCGACTATTATAGATGATTATGTCGCATTTTTGAAGCTACTTGAAACCTGAGCCATTGTATTCCCTGAGCCCCAAAATGTACAATTAGACACCAAGAAAGGGTTTACAGCTGGCATAGATCCAGAAATATCGACATTTATAGATCTTAAATGATCGCCTTTTCTAAATTCAACATAGCCACACTTGAAACATGAACCATTGGATTCCTTGACCCTAAAGATGCAGAATTACCTGCTGACACAAGTGTATAGCTGATATAGATTCAGAAATATCAACTACAAAATATTTTCCATGGTCGCCATTTTGAAATTCAAAATGGCGTCTTATGCAGATAGAAGTGGCTCCACATACAAAACTGTTCACAACATATTTAAGTAACTTTATGCCAAATTTGGTGTTTGTATCACAAAATGTACAATACTTTCATATTCATGGTCTATGCTGCTGCACTATAAGTACCATACTAAAAAGGTCATCTGGCCGAATTTGGACTGCCCATAGGATCTGTCAAGTTGAGGTGAGTCATTGAGGTAATCTAGTTATGATTCATTATACATTTCAACATGCCAACAATGCAAACACAACAGCTGCATATGTTCAATTATATTTTTATTTGGTTGTTATGATAATATGCCTACAATAACCGGGGATGGTCTAAATAGGTATTCAGCTGACACGAAGCATGTATAAACTTCATCAGTTGGTATAAAGAACATCGTTTACATTGACAACAATCCTTTGACATTTATACTTTCTATACCATTATATTCGGATGCTACAGGATACTGTTGGTTCAATATAATTTTAACAACAAATACAGACCTGGAACAACTCATACATATGCTGTCTTTTGATACCTTCAAGGCACCTTAAAAATTCAAGTTTGAAAGAGGGTTCGTGGAGAATTGATTCATTGATTCCTGATTTAAATCGACCAGTCCAACTGCTGGTAAGATCGACTGGGTAAGATGTCAACAGGAACATTATGTGATTGGGCGAGTTGTTCTGGAGTAACATTTCAAATAAAACTAGAACTGGAAACAGCTCCGGGCGTGGCAACGAGACCTTATCCTTTCAATCCTTTTGAAACTTCTAGCCTGTTAGCTTTTAAGCCTACAATTTCGGGTATCTGATAAATAACTCAATTATATAATTACACTACAGAAATTTCACCTCAATATTCTAAATTTTTAAAAAATAGTAGAACTAATTTATACCGCATCACGATAATCCTCAATTGACAAAAACAACAGCGATAGATAATCAGATCTGTCACCCGTGATAGGAATTTGATCATATGACTTATGTCGACGACTTCTCTCATCAAAATGTGTTGACGAGTTGACTTCTGGCGACATGGGCTATAAATCCAAAAGTTGATGTTTTTCATCCAATATCAGGATACCTATAGATAGCTGAGGTCAAGGACAGTCTACACTGAAAAATTTGAGGACATTGAAGGTCACAAGATATAGACTTTTAGATTTTCAAAAACTTCAAACCTGCATAAAAAATATAAATTCGAAATTCAAAATTCTGTTCAAGTAACAAGGCTTTGAAAGACACAAAAAAAAATCATACAATAAATGGAGAACTTATTAAAAATTTAACGAAAATACGCCACTCTCGGGTAACGGCGCAGGCTTTACTTCCGGTTTGAAATTTATCATGCAATTTTATTTCTTTATAAAAATTTTCAAATTTTCAGAATTTGTCTATTGCATTCAATACATCTTGTAACCAAGGGTATAAAAAAGAAAACCCGAGGTAAATCGGTCCACAAATAAGCTCTACATTGCAGCCTCCAAACCAAATTTTTGCACATTATGCAATATATCACTTCCAGTTTAGCAAAATTTTCAATTAGGCTATTCATTTGTTATTCGGGTCCATTTAAAAAAAATTTGGTCGAAACAAAAAAAGTACTTTTCCATTTTCAGTTTGTGCTATAGAGACGTTCCCGGAAAGAAAAATAAAATAAAATCGATTGCATAAAAACCACGTAAAATCGATTTGCTACGCAATATAATTCATGACGACAAGGATTAATAATGAACATTTATTTCAACTAGTAATCCCAAAGAGACACTGAAAGATCATTCTCAAAGGTTTACTGCTACTATACCTCTATCTTTATTCAGAGAAAGAGTTTATTGGCCGACCGAAAATATCTGCCTGTATTGTCAACTACACCAGGAGATGCTATTGGTGTTTGGTCAGGAAGTAGGCGTTTTGAATAATGTAAGGTTAAGGTAAGAAACATCTTGCTCGACACTGATCATGACACCAGATATCATCAGGAATATGTAATCAGACTAAAATCACAAACAAAAGAAAACTATTAAAACATTTAAACAATATAAGCACATTTTTGCAAAGACATCCAACCAGATTTTGTATGATATTTCCACAGCAATACCTTTAATAATTTCATGAAACCTAAATCTTAAGTCTGTGCGGTCATAACGTTTTATTGTGAAAAAGCCTCTCGACATCCCAAATTATAAACTTCTTCAGTTTTGTCAGCGTATTTTGTCAGCAGTGAGTCATTGTTAGGTAATGTGAATTATTATGATTTAATATACATATATATTAGGCTAATTATGAGTTACGAAATCATTTAATTATCAAAGCAATTTTAGCAATAACTTTATTCTGGTTTGGATCAAACCAATTAACGAAGTGTTCAATATTATCAAGATGACAAGATTTTTCGATACTATTATCGATGTTTACTTCAAACCCTGATGTCAATGTGTGAATTGAGTGTTCAACACGCTACCTATTTTATATATCCAGAGGCACATAAAACCTATGTTGCTATAGAACATGTACATGGACATTCTCTTGTTAACATTAATTATTTTTTTTTGTCTCAGATATTCGTTTTTTTTTTTGCACAGATTCACATCTTAAATGTTGAAAAATGAAATGTGTTTAAGTCCATAATTCGTTTTTGAATTATAAGACAGAAAATTTATTAACAAAAATGTAAAAACATTCTTGGCGAAATTAGATAAGAGAAATCCGACTGTTCAAAATGGTTTCATCAAAATCCGTCAAGAATTGCGCCTTCTAGAGTGTTTACAAGCTCAAATTGAAAGCGTTTTCAAGAACAAGGGCAATAACTCATACTAATTATTTTTTTATCTTTCTGATTTTAATTAGGGTTCATCCCTGGGTGATAACAAACACTCACACCACTCACGAGCAATTATAAACGGGCGAGCGTGCGGACAAGGGTGACGAAAATATACGGCCCCCCCCATTTAATGTGGGCGTATGAAAATTAATCCTCTAGCCAATTGCATACTTGGAAATTACTTTTTATCCATTCCTCAAGACGGGTCTCAAATACTACAGTGTTCACCTTTACTGTAGACATCAAATAATCAATATATTTAGCTGATATCATATTTTTATTTTTTATTTTTTCAAACAAAATATATATTTTGTCAAATTCTGCATGATGCATTTGGCTTGATGTTGTTATGGCCCGGCATATAAATGTGAAGGACTGGTTCAGACAGTCAACTAACAGGCGACAACAACGTGAGCTTATAATAATTTATAAAGTACATGTAAAAAAAACACAACACAGCAATCTATAAAGCAAATATACATGATCATCATTACAATCATTTTTACATGTTACACGCTGTGACCCAAACATTGAAGCAAACTAAGATAATTAAAAAGTCGAAATATCTGTTTAATTATCCTGAAATATTGTCATAGATCTAAGTTATAAGAATGGTGCTCATGGCTTGTAAATGACGACAGCTTTTACTACCGCAATATTTTTTTTGTGGAATTGCAACATAACCAGACATAGTGTTTTAATTCTGGATAGCCGAAGTTTTGCTCCAATAGGAAAATATTTCCCTTATAGCCTCCCTCCCCCCCTTCTTTTGACAAATCCAATTCCATTACTGCAACTATACACCATTGCCCCTCAGGATATATTACTTGCCCCTCAGGATATATTACTTGCCCCTCTGAACAATCAAGTCTGGCTACGTCTGTTAAAGCTTACAGAACCTTGCTGTATGTGGTCAAGAAAAGTCATTACTGTCTTCGTGTAAAAGGCTGAGTAAGGAATATAATATGTGCTTCGAAATTGTTCATCATATAACTGGAAGGTTTCAGAATTGTACCCAATTACCACTCATGATAACCCGAAACGATATACACCCATACAGTAGAGATTTTCATAGCATTTTATCTTTTTTTTTAATCAAATTTATGTTTTGCATTTAAAATTTTCAACAAGCCCATTTAGGTTGACTTTAGTCAATATCAATAACTAAAACTATGCTTATCCAGTGATGGCACCAGCCTTCCCAAACTGGGGGCTCAAATAGGGTCAGACTGATTCAATATTTGGGGTGGTGTTGGGGGAGTAACTGTCGAAGCTACGGTCAAAATCTCTGTGGAGGTTATAGTCGCAAACCTCTGAGCGTTGGAGAGGGGTCTCCCACAAAATTGTCGAAAAATTGATCTTTGGTGCATTCAGACATTATGGGGTAAAAACGTATAAAAATCATATTTTCAAATTTGTTAAAAAATAAAGTGGGGTACAATCATTATTATTATAAATGAACCCCCTGAACCCAAACTGGCGCCGACACAGTGCTCATCCAACGTAATGCTACATCAGAAAACCTGGAAGGACGACAGGATAGACGGACATATGTGTGACATACAGACAGGTGACGACGACAATATACTCTAATTCCATAATCAAATTAACAGCTCAAAATAAATTTCAATCATAGAAAGATTTCGTCAACAGTTCCTGTTCCCAATATTAAGGATCTTACACATTTCAATTTTGGCTTGTTAAAAAATATGATCCAGCTCAAAGGGGAAAGGAATTAATATTTCATTTTGGACCCACAGTGCCTTGTATTTCTTCTTTGTCTTTATCTTCAGCGTCATCTCTTGAATCTGATTTCTCTTCTTCAGTATTGTCATCTTTGGTCTCATTCACAAAATGAATCTGATCATCTCCAACATCACGAGAAGCTTCACTAGTTAAAGTGGGAAGATCAGGGGGAAGATCATTTTCAACACCTACAACAACTTCGTTGCTATCTTCAATAGCTTGGTCATTAGCTGAGGGTGCCTCATCATTCTTCGTGTCTGGTTCTATGTTCTGTAAAATAAAAGAACCTGCTTCTGCCTCCATTGCTGTTTTTCTGGTTCTGTGGCTCGAGTGAGAATCAGCTGAATTCAGGTTGTTCATTAGAGCATTGGCATACTTGACCATAGAAGCATCATCTAAGATAGAAGAACAGGAAGTTCGGGATTGTGTGTGGGGTTTACCATCATCATCTTCTGCTGCTAAATTAATATGGACCTCATCATGCATTTCATCTTCAGTATCATCTGGTTCACTATCAACAGTTGAATCAGTTGAGGAGCAGGATATCACATCATCTCTGTCTGTATCACTGAAAAAACGGCTCAACTTTCTACCACCAACCCTCCATGAGTTATAATAGTCTTCACTAGGGTCATAGTTTCCTTTAGCCCGTGTTAGATTATTTTTTGTGATATAATTAGAATTTGTGTCAGCCATTTCATTGTCTTCAACACTACTTGAGTTATTATTGGGATGATCATATTCGCGCATGGAATCAGAATCGGAATTAGCAGGATCCATATCTAAAGTTCGCAATCTCTGAAACAAGAGCTGGGAGCTCTGAGAGTTACTGTCAAATTTGAGTAAACCTCTTCCATGATAAGGCTTAAGATGTTGAGGACTCTCGTTTTCTGTCAGATTAGAGGTATTTTTATCCAACTCATGATCAGCTTTAGTTAAGTCTGGAGTATGTTTGAAAGACGAAGAATCAGCCTCGAAATCCTCTTGAGGTATTGTGGGTAATATGTGGGAAACATCAGATCCACGTCTGCTTGCCAAGCGGCTTGGTACTATATCAGTTGGGAGAAGTCTATTTCCTGGAATATCACTGAACGATGTTCTCCCATGTTCTGGAGAATTGAAAGCATTATCTGAACCAGTAGAGATAAGTCGCTCACGATTATGGGTTTCTATACAAGCTGGTGTAGACATCCTCTTTCCTAGTGGAACACTAAAATAGATCAAATATATTGAATCATTGTTACTCAAAACCAAAATTAATCTTAACTAGAACTGTCAAAAGAAACCTGGTATAAATTTTAAGACACCAGTGATGCTTGGTTAACAAGCTGTCTAAATTTTTAGCTCGACTAGTACCTCAGATAAAACTCAATTTTAGTTTTCAACTGAACCCATAGCATTTTCCAGAATGAGAATCCTGTCTTTAATTAAAATAATCAAATATAAAAGTTGCTTGGTGTAATACCAACGCGGTCATTTCAATTGTTTTTTTCCCCAAAGTATAGATTATAGATGAACATAAAGTAAGATTTTTATTCTTACAAATGCTACGAGTGGTATAAGCTAGCTAGCTCAGGAGATAATAAAACAAATTGTTATACCTCTGGTTTTTATTGGAAGCATTGCTTGTTATACTTTGTCTTCTTCCAAAAATATCAACTTGTGATGGTTTTCTAGCACCAGAAAACTGGGCTACACTATGTCTTTGGGACAATGCCTATAGTAAAAAAATTGGTTTTTTTATTTGATTGACATTTTAATGGTTTAATTTGACACAATGATTTGATGTCAGTCAAAAAATACTTATGACATTAATCAAAAAATACTTATGACGTTAGTAAAAAATACTTATGACGTTAGTAAAAAATACTTATGACGTTAGTAAAAAATACTTATGACGTTAGTAAAAAATACTTATGACGTTAGTAAAAAATACTTATGACGTTAGTAAAAAAAAACTTAAGACGTTTGTCAAAAAATACTTATGATGTAAGTAAAAAATTACTTATGACATTTTATGACGTCAGTCAAAAATTACTTAGGACATTTTATGACATTAGTCAAAATATACTTGACATTAGGTGATAATTTGTCTTGCCTTCATTAAGTTTTGAACCTACAGCACCTATCTACCTCTTAAGAATTTTTTTGAACATTACAAAAGCAAATCAAGAAACCTTAATTCTGAACCCATTTTCATCAATAACTAAGTTTCAAAATAAAAATTTTAAAGTATTAGTTTGTAATATAAAGGACATATTAATGAAAAATTTTCCTGTAATACCATAAAAACTCCCTTAAAGACTGTTGTGACATATCATAGTAGATTCATTCTAAAAATTGTAGACAAACCACGCATACAAATTATATTTCAAAAGTGTTACAAATATCACAAAACTCTCCTAGAATTATAACCAAATTATTAGAAGTCATACCTTTTTGTTATTGGAAGGATTTAAGCCTCTAACAGCTGATTCACGCCTATGTACTGAGGCATGTCGTAAACATAACTTAGCAGCTAAATAGTGATTATGTTCACTACTAACATCATGGAAAGATTGTCTTCTTTCAGATGGTATACCGGGACCCATTTCACTTGGTATTATTAGAATAACTGGTTTAGCTATTTTATCCGTCTACAAAAGGAAAGACGAAAATCTTTGAGGTCATTTACCTTAGCCAATGTTATACACATAATTTGTAATTAATATTCTTCATAGTGAAAATAATAAGGGATCAAAAAAATGAATGGAGATTTTTACTTTTCTGCACCTAATGGGCTACTGAAGACCAACAACACAATGCAGCAGGCATTGAGGGAATTTTTACCAGAATAGCAGCATTAACTACTCTTTTTTTATGTACAGGGATGAGGGATCTATTGAGGGATCTTTGAATGTGCACAGCACACAGGGTCTCTGGGTATTGTCCAATTGTCCAATTTTCCATGTCAGCCCCCCAGGTGGAAAAATCTGAGAGATCATCTCAACTTTTGCCAGGATTGAATTCTAGAACTTCAGGTAAGCGAGCTTGCAGTTCACTCAGACCTTTTATGCAAATGTGAGTTGATGCAAATGTAAGCTGCAAGTTTCACTGATGCTCTTACACAGGCAAGAAAACCTTCTTCATTATCCCTTAGATGTGAAATATGTTTTTATCCATAAGAGATAAGAAAACTTACATGTAAATTGAGTTTTAACACTGTTAGTGGAATATAACATGGACCAACAAATGGTTCTCTTGTAAATGCATTGTGAGCATAGCCTGTAACACAACATTAGAAATACAATTAACGTCAGCAAAAGGGCGTTATGGTAAAAGGAATCGTAATGATACAAGCATATTTGACATCATCACTTAGTTTTAGTGGAATTGCAGGAACCACAGACTTCTGATTGAAAATTTAAATGATGCAAATTGATGCATTCAGTGTTCCCTAAACAAATAAAAAAAAATTAGAAACTCTCTTTACAAAATACATGCTGTTATGGCAAGATCTGATAAAGAAAGGTAGAGCAGTGTACAATGTGTAAATTAGTGATGCCAGTATTGGAGATGTATCATATACTTTTTTTGGTCTGTGATGTCTTTATTGTAAATAACTTACATCACATGGGACACAAATTTTCACCCCATATGAATAAGCTACTTTTATCAAGTCAAACCCTACAAAATGATTCATGATATTGTAAAAGTTGATAGGAATAAATATAGAGGAATCAATATATTACTTTTCTGAATCAGATTTGGAAAATGAAGAGGATTAATGCCATGCAGTGAACAACAGGGGAATTTGTCAAGACATGGGCAGTAGTTTGATTTCAGAATCTACAGAAATAGATGCTTTTTATATGAGCTAAATCACTGACAGGGGGAACCAAGAGAAATCTGAAGGTCTCATCTGAACTTTGTACACAATGATTAATTGTAAACTTACCATGTATCAATAAAATATCAGCCATGCCAGAATCAATGGTAAATGTGTCATTTTCATCTCCTGATACAAGATAGGAATTCTCTAATCTTAATTTAATCTTCTCTTTTGTCCATCCCTGTAACAAATATTGATGAATAATCTTTAAAAAATTCACAGTAGGCCTATATTGTTACCTATCATTTTTATGAAGTTTGACCAAAACCATCATCCCAGCACCCCGTCGTCATTTTGCGGATTTTAGAGAGCAGCATGATGGGAGGTCCTCTATCTTGAAAATTTTCTAATGTTGAAAGCCAGAGAATACACCTAACACGATTTTAGAATGAAATTAAATTGTTCATTTTTTATGAGGGGGTAATGGTCCAAAAATTAAACATTTATTTGATTTTCAACTGTCGAGAGTCCCTCTTGACCTTAAAGTGGCTTAAAAAATTTGAAGGTATTATCTCAAACTATGCTGGTATTAAACCTTGGACCTTCAGGTTAGCGAGCAGACTCCCTATAATAATAAGAACTGAAAGCCTGTCCTTACACAACAAGGTAAAAACTTAGAAATAAATGAGTTGGAAGCATGTTACCTGATAATCTGGTTGTTCCATTAAAACACTAACAGCTAATCTGGAAGCACAAACTCTCCATAATCTATATTCTAAAGATGGTTCAGTTTCTACAAACTCTTCAAAAGCTTTTTCCATATCTTCAGAGCTTATATGCAGTAACTACAACACAATAATATTTTAATATTGCATGAGAAAAGCAAGTGAGAAAAGTGAATTTTGTGCTTATTTTTCCTGCACCTTATTGAGCATGCTGTTTTTGATATTTTTTATTTTAGGCATATCTCCAGTAAGCTTATACATCGACTGGAGCACATAGCAAGCAAGGGTTTTGTATCATGTCGCAAGGGTTAAGTATCGCATCGCAAGGGTTAAAATATGATCTGTATTGCGATATGAGGTAATGAGATAAAATTTAACACTTTATCTTCAAAGTTTCAATATTCATGACTTTATAACGGTGATATTTGATAATGTAGTTGATATGTGTGGTTAATGTCCACTGTCTTATAAATAGTTACCAACAATTTCAGTCAAATCAGTGAAAAAAACTTGTGATGTCATACGCCAACGGATAAAAAATCTCCACTTTGAGAGGTAACGTCAAGTATTGATACATGACCTCGCGGTACAATACGATACGCGTATTGTGGTCTGTTGTATCATGATACATCAATTCACTGATATATAATGCCAGCACAAATGCAGAGATTGGACGATATTTTCCCAATAACAAAATCATCATTTTGTTTACCTGAACAGCTGTTTCACATTTGACACTGGCCATCCTAGATCTGTGAGTTAAAAATCCCATTTCACCAATAATATTACCAGTTGTAAGAAAATCCATCAGTTTATTTTCAAAAAGAGTAGTTGCACTAGTAGATGATCTAGTACGACTTCTAGTGGTTTCCAACTAAAAAAAAACATAAAATGAAATACCTATAACAAGTATTATTTTTATTAATAAAATTGTTTGTGAAAGCAGTGCATAAGGAAACCACTTTTATTTACGAAAAAAAAAATTGGTTGAGAAAAAAAACAGATTGGTTTAAACATCCATAGTTACTCTCAAATGTTGGAACGCTTCCAATGTTCATATTCAGAGCCAGTTTAGTGTACTTATAGTGATTAGTGTGATTAGTGACATTTCTAGTGACTCGTGTCACTTTTCAGAATGAAATCCTATGTCTGGTTTGCATGCAGTTAAAAAGTTTAAAGGCTGTTATGAACACTCTCCCCTGCATACATTACCAACAATTATTTTGTCATTGGTTAAAAAAAGTGTCAATGCAACAAAAAGCCTGGTTACTTTAAATGCTATGAATATTAACATTTTTTCGTTCATTGACTTCATACTGGTAATGAATAATCATGATATACCATTAAATAGTTAATCATATGGTTGAGTAGAAATAACTTACCCTAACTAAACCAGAAACTATAATATAAATTCCTTGTGATGGATCACCTTCATTTAATATCACATCACCATAATCATAACTAACTAACTGAGCACAATTCTATAAGAGAAAGTAATCAAAATAAGCCCTTCTTTATAAACCTCTATCATAGATTTAGCCAAACCTCTATCATAGATTTAGCCAAATCTCTATTATAGATTTAGCCAAACCTCTATCATAGATTTAGCCAAATCTCTATCATAGATTTAGCCAAATCTCTATTATAGATTTAGCCAAACCTCTATCATAGATTTAGCCAAACCTCTATCATAGATTTAGCCAAATCTCTATCATAGATTTAGCCAAATCTCTATTATAGATTTAGCCAAACCTCTATCATAGATTTAGCCAAACCTCTATCATAGATTTAACCAAATCTCTATCATAGATTTAGCTAAACCTCTATCATAGATTTAGCCAAATCTCTATCATAGATTTAGCCAAACCTCTATCATAGATTTAGCCAAACCTCTATCATAGATTTAACCAAATCTCTATCATAGATTTAGCTAAACCTCTATCATAGATTTAGCCAAATCTCTATCATAGATTTAGCCAAATCTCTATTATGGATTTAGCCAAATCTCTATTATAGATTTAGCTAAACCTCTATCATAGATTTAGCCAAATCTCTATTATGGATTTAGCCAAATCTCTATTATAGATTTAGCTAAACCTCTATCATAGATTTAGCCAAATCTCTATTATGGATTTAGCCAAATCTCTATTATAGATTTAGCTAAACCTCTATCATAGATTTAGCCAAATCTCTATTATGGATTTAGCCAAATCTCTATCATAGATTTAGCTAAACCTCTATCATAGATTTAGCCAAATCTCTATTATGGATTTAGCCAAATCTCTATTATAGATTTAGCTAAACCTCTATCATAGATTTAGCCAAACCTCTATCATAGATTTAGCCAAATCTCTATTATAGATTTAGCTAAACCTCTATCATAGATTTAGCCAAATCTCTATTATGGATTGAGCCAAATCTCTATTATAGATTTAGCTAAACCTCTATCATAGATTTAGCCAAATCTCTATCATAGATTTGGCCAAATCTCTATCATAGGTTTAGCCAAATCTCTATTATAGATTTAGCTAAACCTCTATCATAGATTTAGCCAAATCTCTATTATGGACGTACATAAACATGCTATTGCTAAATCATGGATTATAGTAAGTAGTAAGAAACCCCTACCTTAAAATAATCAATAAGTTTTTCATCATTTTGCAACCAGGTAACATTATTGAGTAATTTTTCTGGTGGTGGTAAAGGCATACTGGGTGGTGCTGTTAATAATTTCTTCATCTGTACCTCAACCATCTGAAATAACCACAAAATTAATATCCCTTGTGCTGATTCATCGGTATAATATCAGCTGGATTTGTAATTTTGTAATAACTTATATCACAAAAAGCTATTTTTCTTAACTTTATCATGTAAATAGTTTTCAGAAGTACTAGAAATGTATGGAAATCACATAAATCCTTTAAAAATACTTCAAACTAGGAATTTTACTCACTATTTCTATATACAGTGGTGTAACCTATTTTCGTGGATATAAGGATTCAACACCGAATTTCGTCAAAATTTAAAAAACAAAAAATTTTTTTTTATGTCTTAGATGTTTCCTCAGATATTCTACAAAATAATTAGAATTAGTTTATTTCGATTTTCTTTATGAATCCTTCACTATGACCCATATTTCATGAGCAACCAACTCGGGAACGGCGGCAGAATGCGTCACCTATTTTCGTGTACAATGTTTGATCTCTAAATAAGTCTAGAAAAACACGTTGTATGGATACCGGATGGTATAATTAACTTCTCTTAGTATTTATCTTTAATATCAATTCATTATAACTAGTGACAATTCCTTCAAAGAACCACGATTTAAAAAAAAAATAGTGACTGACAAAATAAGATACATAGCGTGATTTATTGCTAAAAGTCACTGAAACAACATAAGAATATGGTCCACTTTGTGTTCCATAGAAATTTTCTGTTGACACTGATTCCGCTAGTTGATCACGTGAATTCATTCGTTGGACTACATTCTAGCAGACGACACTTGGAATTCCGATTACCGATAGGGATTATAAGGAAATTCGACCGATAAAAAATGGTGATGTTTGGTAATAACTGAAATCCGCCATTTTGTATTTGTCAAAGTATACATTAATACATTTTACCTTGCTTGAAACTACTGGATTCATTATACTAGCTGATATTGTAGAGAAAACCCATGTTTATCAAAACAAACTAATGTGGAGGTGGCGCAAGGTCGCTCATGTAAATTAATCCTTTCCGGAAATCCACGAATAATAGGTTTCCACGAAATTAGGTTACTAGACTGTATATCTTTTCTATATATCACAGAGTATCTTAAATTGACGAGCCGTCATTTTAACATTCAATCGCAGATAATTCTGGACAAACCAGAATTTGAAGGCTCACTGTTACTGATTATCTCAACTTAAAAATTCCAGTTTCTGATTGGTAAAAAAAATGGCCTTACTGTCCCTTTGAAGGACTCCTTTTTTGGAGGTCAAAAATTTACTTTGCTCAAATTCGGGAAAAAAATTCACCAAAATCTAGAGAAATGTGCCCTTTAATGTATCTGAAAGTTTTAACTAAAAAAAAACGGCTGTTAATCTTTTAACGCCAAAACTTTCTGACCTTTCTTAATTTTTCTCTCTCTGTTTCAACCAGTACACCATCTTCATGTAGTTCATTAATACCATCTCTTAAATTATTTAATACACTTCTAATGGCTTGTCTTGTTTTTACTGATAATGCTATATCAGGGTGGTTTTTCTGTAGCAGGCCTAAAATAAAATAGAAGGTTAAAATAGGACAATTGGTGTGAAACCGATGGAATAAAAAGATTAAATGGCTCAGTGAGTGAAACACTTAAACACAATTAAACATGTAGCAAGGAGCTGTGTAGACCGGAACATCTGCCGCTTGATAGCTATTTTGAAAGTTGTCGGCTGGTGTAGGGACAGAAAAACTAGACCCTGTTTTGTGGGGATTTTGTGGGGTATTATGATAAAAAATACGCATCTTTGGAGGTGTGGAAAATCCCCAAAACAGGACCTAGTTTTTCTGACTCTACTGCAGCCAATAACTGTCAAAATACCTAACAAAGGATGGAATAGACGCAGATGTTTTAGACTAGGTGCTGTAGTGGATCACCTGTACACTAGTTTGGAGGAGGATGATTCAATACCAAATAAGACAGAGATAGCAGGGAAGTAAAACTCCATTTTTCATTCATGTTTCTGAAAGCAGGCTTACCTAAACATCGAATAACATCTAATTTGGAGGCATCACAATGATGTTTGAGCTGTTTAGCAATATCTCTATTATCTACCATATGATCTATTAGTTTTCTCACTTCTTCTTCACCAGAAACAAAACCTCTTCCTAAATCATACCCATTACTTAGATGTAAACTAATTCTGGTTTTAACCAATAATAGAATTGTTGGTAATAGAGGCTAAAAAAGGTAATTTACAAAAAAATCTACAGACAAAATTCTTAAATATTATGATTCAGTCAAAAATATTCTTAACAATTTTTTCAACAGTAAAATAAAAAAATCATTTTTTATGCTCATAACATATAACTTTAATTGTACCATTCTGAAATCACGGTTTATGGTTTATGGTGCTGAAAGCTGATGGTTGTCTAAAGGGTACCAGGGGTGTCTAAATTTAGAAAAAGGATAACTTAGTGTTTAAAATATTGGGAACCAGGGCGAGATTACCTCAATCAATCGTAACAGCCTGATAGATCTAATTGATATCATAACTACCAAAACATTTCTATAAACTGTGTTTGGACTGTTGTCAATATTATATGGTTCTAGAGTAAACTGTAATACTGCATCAACTATTCCGTGTAAGACCACTAATAAACCTAATATCTGCCACACTACTGTGAAGAAAAAACGTCGCTGACATATCAACTGAAAAAAAAATCATAAAAAAAAGTGGAGAAAACTGACATATCAACTGAACAGAAATACATATAAAAAGTCTTTAAAAAAATGACACTTATCTAAATCTGACACACTTATGGCAGACATTAAACTAAACATATTTTTATGAAAATCTGACACATTTATGTCAAACATTTACCTAAAAATAATTTATGAAAATCTGACACACTTATGAAAATAAAAATAGCTTCAAACAAGAAAGGGTTTCTGCTTCATGTAACATAAGGAATCAACCAATGTGTGGATATCTGTACAACCACTCTTAAGCTGATTTTTGTTTATTTTTGTGAAAATACAGCTAAAGCTCAATAAATTATCATCATAACTCACCTTTATTATCACTTCCATAAGATAAATTATAACAAAAACCACATTAAATGCTCCCATAATATGACGATAGTTCAGCCAATCTATATCATATAAAGCTACTATAGATAAAGAAGAGCTGATGGTATCTAAGACTATTATACAATATATAAAGATATGAAAGGCTTTGGTATTTGTGATGTGGTATAAAGCTTTGAGGTACTTGTAATTATAAACTTTAACAGGTACAAATCTTATAACAGACTTCAAATATCTTTTCTGAAATATAACAATTCAAAAATTGAGTATACAAAAATAACAAGAAATTTTTCTAATGCACCTTTTTACAGGGTGTATTTTCAAATATCACAGCATTGGATGTAAGGTTAAATGGTGACAAAATTTATCAAATGAAATTAATAAAATAAAGATTATTTGCTAAACAGAATTAATGGAAAACCCAAATTCACGTTTTAGCAAAACCCCATATATTTTTTAACACTGGGAGAAAAAATTTATCTACAATGAAGCTGAAACACATGTTCTTTTTAAAGAAGTGTTCAAAATTTTAATGACAGATCGAAAAAGAAATGATTCAGAATGGATTTATAAGAATGCATTATAAATATAATCCACACCAAAACAAATTTCTTATTCTTGTAACAATAAATTTCACTATTCTTTTCAGGGCTTATTTTTATAGATTATGTTCATGCTATTAGTTTTATGTTAAAGGGAGATAATTTTCATAGCAAAACATTCATGATCTTAAAGTAAATAAATTTGTACCGAATTGAGATGAAGATTCAAGTAATAACTACATAAAGGAATCAAATAATGCCCAAAGAATCATTAGCAGTATTACAATCAGAAAGATAATCCAAATTCGCTGCTGGTAGATTGTGTCAAGGGAGGTAACTTGACCAAAACAAAAAAAAAGCCTTACAATTTTGAGCAAATATTCTGGTACTTCCCATAACTTCTTAATTTCATCAACTTCAATAAACCTGAAAAACAATAAAACAGTTACATTTACTGATTAAAATTCAATAATTTAATTAAACAGTTAGAAAACAAGTATCATGCAATATGGTACTGAAAGTTGTAAACATTTTTGATTGGTTCTTATAGTTTATTGTGGGTAAGGGAGCCTATATGGAAGAGATTACTACTTGTTAATGGGTACAGTGGAGAGATGTAACTTTAACATTGGTTATAAAATTTGTTCATCGATAATCGAAATTATACATGAATTTCCCATCCATAAGACCATAAGAAACTCCAATTTTATATAGAATAGAAATCAGAATTTGATTTGTTGTAAAACTACTGAGATTAAAATATCTTATTTTTTTATGTACTTACTTTCCTTTTTTATCAGCAGCAACTTCTGTACATTCTTGTAATTTTCTCACTGCCTCTCTAGATAACATACCCTGTACAAACTGTCTCCAATAACTTAACTGAAATTACCAATATCATCTTTTGCAATAAACTTTCTGAGAATGTAATAGTAAAATTTTCCTACCTTTTCAGCTTTGAGAAACCTAAGAATAGCTTCATTTGTCATCTCTCGTAGTTCTTTACGAGTCGGTTGAGATGGAAGACAAGCATCACAATCTGGACAAATAGCATTAGGTCTGATATCCATAGAGTCTTCTAACACAATCTATAATAATATACAAAAAATGCAATTATACATCTATTCTTGAGACACCTTGTTCAAGCAAGCAGACCACACAGTTAACCCCTGAGTGATTGTAGGCCAAAATGGTTACACTGAAATCTTTTTTCATGCATTAGCTTAAAGAAGCACATTCCTTGGGACATTTTACATCCGTATTTCCATGCATCTTATAATCTCATTTTTTATATAATGCATGGGCTTTTTTTTTTGACAACTTAGTGGAGTTACACACCAAAAAAATCTCTCTCCATCAATAAGTTGGTAGTAATATAAAAAAAACTTCCTGTCATTTCAGAGCTAGATAAGACTTACATCTTCATCAGTAATTCTATAAGGATCAATGATCTGACATGATTTCTCTACCATATCCCAATCAGCATCGGCTAAAAATCTACAAGAATAATACATACATGTGTACTAGTTTCATGCATTTCATTTTTCTAAAATTAACTTCATCTTAAACTCTTCTGCTATAAGAATTTAATATCAATACTTCATCATTCAATTAAGAAGTTAGCAATCACTGAGGCTTTAAACTTACATTTTTTTGTTCAAATATAGGAGTATGCAACTTGATTCTTAAAAATAGTCAAAATTGTATTGTTAAATTTTTTTACTTAATTTGACCTAGACATAAATTGAAAACCTTGAAGCCTTTTTGGTATTAAAGAAAACTGTATGTATATAAAATTTCATACAAACTTTCTGTTAAATATAACAATACATATTTTTTTTTTCCAAACTTTTTCATTAGCTTACCTATCCGTTTTCAACATATTAAATGTCTTTTGTCTGAGTTCCTCTAAATATCTTAAAGCACTAGCCATTGCCATACGTTTCGCAGGTGAAACATCATTCATGCCTTTATAAAAGAATAAATTAAATACATTAAGCTTATAAATTGATGAAACTTTCAATCTCATACCTAGCTTCTGATGGTCATTGTGAAGTTATAGGTCAACATGTGACCTCAAAATCTTGCTAAAATTTTCACTTGAATGCAAGGTAAAATGAACTATTCAGAAATACTGTCAATTTTTAAGTACAAAAAATGCAGTGGGAGATAAACAGCATGTCAGCTAATGAAGACGGGCAATGCCATGCAGGGTGCAACGAGGGAAATTTTGCCAGGACAGCAGCATAAGCCTGCTATTTTTTGATTTCCAACTGTCTCTCCGAATAACTAGATGCTTTTTCCATGTTCTTAGTAAACGGACAGAAATGATATAAACACATGAAAATTTGTCACAGAAAAATAACAGCATAATGTACTTCAGCAGGAATATAGCAATGATGATTCTCTAGTTGAAAGCAGACTTTGCCCAAGGACATGTAAATATATAGTTTATATTTTCAGAAATATGAAAAGATCTTACCTAATATCTTAAGAACATGAGGAACTGTTGTAGCATTAATAAGTAAAGTTAAAAACACTATACCAGACACATGGATTAAAACCTGAAAATAAACCAGCAGTAGTCAGAACTATTCTACTTTCATGACAATTTTATGTCATTTCAGGATAATCTTTCAGAGTAAATCAATGTTAAAATACATTACATATGATGTTTTACCACTTCGTAATATTATTAACTTGCCAAATTCTAACATGACATCTGAGCTTGAATTGTATGCATTAATTTGTAGGAAATTGGTTGAGATATAAGGATATAAAGCAGTATCATTATTCAGGGAAAAATGAACTTACATCATTTCTCATCAATTGATCTTCATTTAAGGATTATGTCCTGATGAGTAGAAAGAAAAATCTAACCTTCAACCTAACATTTTCTAAATCGAGTAGTTCTTGTTCCCAGACTAACAGACCTAGTGCCAGACCAACAGCACCACGTAAACCACCCCAGGTCATTATAATACCTTCTTGCCATGTCATACCATATCCAATTCTACGTAATATTGGACTGAACAAGGCTATCACTAGTCCTCTACAATAGAAACATTGTGTTTTTCAAGAACTTCAAGACAAATAAAAGTCAGAAGTGCTTGGGTGTTGCACATTTTGACAGGCATCTGTAGGCAACTAGATTTTTCATCTTGGAAACCGAAAGTAACCGAAAAATGGCTTATGGCAGTTGCTTAGGTTCTATTTTCTGGCAAAAATTAGCTCAGTAGAAGGCGGTGATCCAAACTCTCAATATGTGTGCATTGCTTTGTTGACTGCAAAAGTTTCTGATGAATCTGGGTGAGATTCTTTGAAACATAGGTAAAAAAATTTCAGTAATCACCAAATCATTATATCTGATCTTGAATATTCAAAATAAAAGGTAAAAAAAAAAATTAAGAGTTGTTCATATAAAATCTTATATTTACCTGATAACTTGAAGACCAAAATATAAGGCAAACATATAAAACCAATCTATACCATGAATTCTAAAGATAGCTTTCTCTGATATGACTACACCAACTAATATAAAGATCAGTGTATTGGCTAGATACGCCAATGTTTCCCAAAACCTAGAAAAGAAAAGGGTAAAAGAGAAATCTTATTTTAAGTCCAGCTACTTGTTCTTTACAGCGCTTAAAATAAGGTTCTTATGTTTAACAAGCAATCTTAGTAATTGATGTCACTTAATGCTAAAATCATTTTTAATTCAGTCTTTGTGATATATTCCCAAAAAAATTTCTTAGTATGTTAACATCTTTCAGACAATTTGATTCAAATGCAAATTTTGTTGGGCGTTTTTTCTGTGGATGACTCCACTTGGCATCAATGATCTGGTTTTCTTTTCTAATTCTTTTCATATTCAACCAATAAAATGCTCCGTTTAACAAAAGATGTTCTATGTTATATTCAAGAAATTCACTGTTGAACATTGACTTCCACAGAAATTCCACAGAACACAATTCAAATACAGAATGTTGTCAGATCTTGTCAGAAGAAACAAAACATTCAGATCTGCATTTTAAGATGATAGTGAAAGAGAAATAGTTAGAGGTAATACCTGTGTAAGAAGGCCTCAACTTCAGGACTGATACTAGTTTTTTTACCACTCATAACCACACCTAATACTACTACAGCTAATACCCCTGATACACCTAAAAACTGTTCTCCTACAATATATAAAGTAATCAGTTAGCAATTAACAAAGTTGCATCACAAAATTAATTCACATTATCCAGTATTTAAACAAGTGGTTGCCTAGCAAGATACACCCACTTTCCTGATACATTTTCAGTATATCAAGGGCAGTCACCTATCTGTGTCAAATCATACCAAAAATCTAATTTGTTGTTGATTTAAGCAAACACACATTATTTAATAAAATTCTGACATAAACTGTCACCTCTATGGCTTTAACAATCCAACAAATTTTGATGCGTTACTAAGTCAAGGGCAATAACTCAAATTCTGTTGATCGAAAAATCGTCAAATTCAATCTTTATCATTATAATGTGGGCGTATCAAAATGTTCAGAAATCACCAACTTAAATTACTCCAATAGTTGCCCCACTGTCAAATTCTGGTATCAAAGAATAAATGACCATATTTCACATTCAAGTAGAGCACTTTGCCAAAATGTTGCATGATATTATGAAATTAATCTTTTTCATTTTTGATAATTCTTATAACAGCACTGAATTATATGTTTTGACTTCATTAATAACTGAAAAGTAAAAATTTAGATATCAACTTACCTATATAATAAGTCAGATAAGTTGAAGCTAAAGTAATAGTAATTTCAGATAAACAATCATTAAATATTCTAGATAACCAAAATAATGTTATCTTAGCCATGACTAAACCAAATGCTGGACCTCCAACAGCTACTCGTAGAAATGTTAACACCATGTCAGAACCTAAATAGATAAACAAAAAATTATCAAAACTTAATGTTACTTTTAATTCTTACTAACACTTGATTGATAGAACTTTCTTTCACTTACTTGTATAACTTGCATAACACCAAACTTTTGTTCCCTTTTTTAGCTTTTATTTTTAATATAGCCACTTAAGGTCTAAAGGCTGGCCTCTCAATAACCTTTTGACCTAGTCTGATAACCTCTGCATAAACCAATCAAATTCCTTCCCTGTTTCACAAAATGCCAGCACTGGCGAGGGCAGAAATTTGATTGGTCAAAAGCAGAGGTCATCAGGTTAGGTCAAAAGATTTTGTGTTAAATGTTCAAGAGGTCCATCTTTAGACCTTAACTGAAGTGGCTTTCTTAATAACAAAAGCTAATACAAACGGAATGCCAGTTTGATAAATTTACAGTTTGAGAAAGTGAAGAATTAGAAGATTAGCAATTTACTAAGTGGTGAATCAAGAATCTTATTTAGAGACAACATCTTCATTTGCAATCGAATCAAATTTCTATCCTGAATTTAATCTTGAAGTTCTATCCTGAATTTAATCTTGAAGTTCTATCCTGAATTTAATCTTGAAGTTCTATCCTGAATTCAATCTGGAAGTTCTATCCTGAATTTAATCTTGAAGTTCCATCCTTAATATAATCTGGAAGTTCTATCCTGAATTTAATCTTGAAGTTCTATCCTGAATTTTATCTTGAAGTTCTATCTTAATTTAATCTTGAAGTTCTATCCTGAATTTAATCTTGAAGTTCTATCTTAATTAAATCTTGAAGTTCTATCTTAATTTAATCTTGAAGTTCTATCCTGAATTTAATCTTGAAGTTCTATCCTGAATTTAATCTTGAAGTTTTATCCTGAATTTAATCTTGAAGTTCTATCCTGAATATAATCTGGAAGTTCCATCCTGAATTTAATCTGGAAGTTCTATCCTGAATTTAATCTTGAAGTTCTATCCAGAATTCAATCTTGAAGTTCTATCCTGAATTTAATCTTGAAGTTCTATCCTGAATTTAATCTTGAAGTTCTATCTTAATTTAATCTTGAAGTTCTATCCTGAATTTAATCTTGAAGTTCCTATATATATATATATAATGAGTAAATGATAAAACTATTAACCTGTAAGCCCTACTTCTGATGTACATAATGTAAGAAATATATTAAAGAAAACTATAGCAGCACCATCATTTAATAAAGATTCTCCTTCTATTACCATTGATAACTGTTTAGAAGCACCTGTAATCAAAATCAATCTAGATTATTTATTGTACTTTATTGATGGAGCTTATTTTCAGCATACATGTACTACCGACCACTACCGTACATCTTAAAAATTGCTGAAAATGTATCATATTGCTGATTGTTGAAAAGATTTGTTAGGACAATTTATCTAAATTACTAAATCAACTGTCTCCATCTTAAAGCATTAAAAGTAAATTTTACTGAGTATTTTGAAGCTTCAAAAACATGTATCTAACAATAGCAAATTAAGGCATTCACTGTTCTTTTTTTTTTCTTTTTTTTTTGTCAAATGACGGTGTACATCAATACCAATGATGTAAAAAAAATAATAAATGGTCATAAGGAGATCAAGAGCTTTGGAATCAGTAATATAAAGTTTTCCACTCTTACCAACTTCTCTGAGAATGGCTACAACCGCTACTGGATCAGTGGCACTGAGTATAGAACCAAACATCATGCCTATTGTCCAACTCCATTCATAGGTAAATAAATATCTAGACATTATACAGACTAAAAATGATGATAGAGCTGCAAGAGAAGACATGATCAATCATAATTAATTAGGGGACCAAAAACTGTCAAAGGCAAATTGCTTATTCAAATTAAGTGTTTATTATCCAGAGAATTGTTTTTTTTAGGGGGTTCCATTTTTTATTAACTTTCATTTTTAACATAGCCACATCAGTTAGGGGTCTAAAGACAGACCTTTTGAACATTCATCACAAAAACCTTTTGACCTAACCCCTGTTTTAACAAATCAAATTTAAATAGGTCGCTTCCAAACATCAGATAAAAAGGTGTGTTCTTATTTTCAAATTCAGTGGACTGATAAAACTAGTCTTAAGCTTCTGGGAATACACCTTTGGTTCACGACCTCACGTCACAAAACCCAGCACTGGAGGGAAGATATTTGATTGGTTAAAGCATAATCAGATCATCCGAGGTATTGATCAATTGTCATAGTTATCATGCATGGCTTTTTCCTAATGATTAGTCAAAAACAATTTCAAAAATTGAAAATCAAAGGCCTACTATGCATCACTGGTAGATCAAGATGCAATTATGATCAAGTTGATTCAAGACATAAACACATGTACATAGATCATTGATTTTTAGCTAAATTAAATATCAATTGAAATCATACTAATCCAAAATTTTATACCAAAAAAAAAAAAAAGTAGAAAGAACATGAAGGCTAATACAGCCTTCGGGTCAAGATACTTCTCCTGGGAAATTAGAATTAATTCATTGTGAAATAAGTCTAGACAATATCATTTCAATTGATACACCTTCCAACCAACAAAGTCAATATAACAAATTGATACATGGAAATGAATACTGATTTCTCTGTTTATACAAAAAATCACAATAGATTAATAAATAAGCTAAAAAAAAAAACATCATCAGCTATGTGTATTCTCCAAAAGGCTCCACATATATATCTTAGAATAGCAATAGATGCTCTGGATTCTTACTTAACTGGTGAATTGAACTCAAATTCAATAAATTTTTTTGGACTTTGGCTCTGAGGGAGGGCTTTGATTGCCCTGTTAAGCAAGGTATTCAACAGTTAGAAGTACCTTGACATTGTGAGATGACCTCACACCTTTCACAGTGGCGCATAATTTCAATAAACATTAAGAAAACAAATTTACAACAACTCAGCTTATGCCTTAAAACAATATATAAACCTACTTACCTAAACCAGGTACAGCTAGTAATAAAACTTGAAAAAAAGTTCTTTTAAATGTGTGGACTTCCATGGCAAAAGCAGACTCAAATATGAGCACTGGTAGAAAGGTATGGAGAATAATATGGGGATCTGTTTCAACAATGTTGGCATATTCATGAACTGATGGTACATTTTTAGATATTAAACCAAACAATACACCTAACAACAATAACAAAACTGTGTAAGGTAGTTTAACTGGTATACTTTCCACAACCTGCCGTACAAGAGCTGAAAAATTCAAAAAAAAAATAGCCTAAAACAAAATGCTTTCCTCCTCAATTCCATGGTTGGCTTCAGACCTTTGTTTTAAATTCAAGCCGTTTGATATATAATAACATTCTCAGGGAGAGAAAACAGTAATCGTAGCCTCAAAGTTTACTGTAACTGTCAGTTCCTAAGTAAGACTTAGTTAGACTTTGTGAGCCATGTTATTCTATTTCTAGCCCTGGCTGGTCAAATTCATGATATTGGCTTTTGAAAAAATCGCGATTTTAACAGTGAATAAAGATTAGGGTGGTTGAAAGGAATATTACTTTTTTTTATCATGTTAGACTGAATTAGGCACTAGCTAGCATTGCAACTTCATAAATTTAACTTCAGATTCAACTTTTTTTCTTCTGTTGAGTTCAATTTCTTGACTAAGCGAAAACTGACTTACCTCCCAATGCACAACTACAAAATATAAAAAGCACCACAGCAGCCACGGGACCTTTATCGTGCTCATAATGTACACCTCCGTCGTCTCTATGATTGTCTTCAGTCATGTTTAGTTGCCATTCTAGAATAAGAAAAGAATGAGATTAGGAATAAGAATGTTCTGATGGTGGATAGCAGACGAAATACAACACGTTTGGCAACGTCACATTAACAGGAACACTTTTTGATGACGTCATTATTAATAAGCATAAGACGATGACGTAGAAAAATATTTAGACTTTAAACCATTTGAACCTCAAATTGGGTTTTGATGTAGAAAGCTGACTAATAAAATTATATATATTAATTTAAAAGAATCAGAAAGATGATTCCCACAAAACATTTGAATTTCTGTTCATCTTTGTGTAGATTCTGTTCTGTTTTTAATAACAGATTTTTCACGCTATTGATTGGATGAAAGACCAAATAAAGTCATTTGATTGGTTAGCTTTTGTTTCTGTCTTTGAGCCAAAAAATCAAATTGCGAAAATTCCCAATAATTCGACCTTTGGCTAATAAAGTACAAAAAAGTTCAACATCAGGATTTTTCCCGAATTTATGTCTAATAAAAGCGCTTAGTGTATGCACGTCAATGATTGGTCGAGAGCTCGAATATTGGCATTTGATTGGCTGACAATATTGTCAATGCCTCCGGACAATTAAGAGCAATGTTCTATAAAATGAAGATTGTCTGTTTAAATGCCAAGGCTATGTCAATGATACATACAGATAACATGTCATTAACACATGCTACATGCTGAACGATCTTAGGCCTTAATTGTTAAAATGTCATGTGAAATATGTTCATTATAAAACTTCTAGTACTGTCTTTGTAGGCTACATCGAATTTAAACGATTATTTTTATGAGAATTGGAATATCAGTTTCAAAATTGTACTGTTAGCCTTAGAATGTCTTTGCTTTTCAGTCAAAATTTTTTACTTTTTTGGGTTGAAATTTCTAGGAGAGAAATGTGTTTCTGTTCAACGTTAACTTACAAAAGATTATATTTTTATTAACGCAAAGACATTCTAAGACTAACAATACTATTTCGAGGCTGGTATTCCTATTCTCTTCAACAAATAATGTATTAAATTTTTAAAACTTTTTGCTTTACTCAGACAATAGGTAAATTGATATTTTAGCCAATTCAGAGCCATTCTTAAGCTAGCAATACCGTTTTATAGCTGACATTCAAATTTACTTTAAAAGGACATATGCGCCATTTGTTTTGACCAATCAAACCTTGGGTCCCAGAAACGGGATTTTTTTAGCTAGGCCAATCAGTAATAGTGATCACAACTCACTGTAAAAATTTGAGCCATCCAATCCAAGTGTGTTCAAAATTATCCGCGTTTTAATGTTAATATGACGACTCGTCATTTGATGATACACTGTGATATAAAAGACATTTATAGAAATAGTGAGTAAAATTTGTAGTTTGAAGTCTTTTTGAATTATGCCAATTTCGCACATTAATTTTATTACTGAAGACTATTTACATATGTTCAAGATTAAAATCAACCCCCTCCCCCCAAAAAAACGGTGCATCTGTACCTTTAAATTTCGATTTACAAAGGAATTTTTGAAAACGTTATATAAAAACAATTCTTTGCGTGTATTGAGATTCGTGCAGTTCGTCTCTTGACCACCATTAATGATGTAATGCATTTGATTCATTTTTTTTTTCAAATTACCGATTGACTTATTTAAAATTTTAATCTTCAGAGAATTTGTTGTTTTGGTCAATTTTTAGACTAAGTAAAGAATCACGAGAGAAAAATATTTGTCAAGCAGATAATGAATAGACCTATACTATATAGTCCTTTTCTTTTCAATTGTAGCCTATTTTGAAAAAAAAAATTGTTCCCACCGTTAAATTAATGAAATGTAATTTATTTTGTATATGATATTATTATAGATTAAAGATAAGAACGTGACGATATTTTCTCGCCAAGGATTTGATTTTTGTCCGAAAAAATATTAAATCCGCATATTTGCATAATTGCAGAAAAAAGCTCACAAGGCACTGAAAAAATGCTCTTGTGTAAGAATAAAGTATTGTTTAATACCATGGGAAAATATTTACGTTTTTATAGATAAAACTCTAATTTGATTGCATTCATGGCTTGTCAGCATATGCACTGAACTTACCGGGTGCCATGACTAAAGAATAGAACATGCTTCTAAGCATTTTCAAAATTACTTCGTTTAATGGTTTAATTCATAGTTTAATGGATTTTCTGTACATCGGCGTGGTTTGAACCACAAATCGAGACCGTACGACATAGGACGCAGGGAATACAAATATGTCATACTGGGGCGAAAAGACATATTCCATTAAAAACTTTTTAAAATTTATGTGGGATAGCTCCTTGAAGACTAATTTAATGAAATAAAAAGTCATTGAGGTTGAAGAAATCTGAGTGAGTTATGATAAGTATTATTTATTACTGTAATCTATATTTTATATGCTAATCATTCATACTTTATTGTTTTGTCAACATCTTAGTAACGGTGCGGTTCAACAGACAAATATTTTATTTAATGTCGGTATTTATCAAACAAGTTCTGTATTGTGATTTAACGAGACTTACCGGATCTCAAATTTCGTAATAGACTTATACGCAAAGAATGATAATTATGCAAATCAAATACCCTCTGCAAGGATAGGAATATACATCTGATGACGTGTCGACAGCAGGAAAGGGGGCATTTCATTGTTTGAATGTTTGCATTTTTTCATATTTTTTATGAATATCGAATATCGAATATCGGCCTCATAATAGAGGTGTTAGACTAAGGAATGTCTGCGCTGATAAAAAAAATTACATTGAAAAGAAACACATTTCTCTCCTAGAAATTGCAACCAAAAAGTTCGAAATTCTGATAACTGATGTCCTCTGTAAAAACAGATTTTGAATGTGTGCATGTGTTGATATTTTTATCAACAGATTAACAGATTAACAGTACTATTTTGAGACTGCTATTCAAACTCTCATAAATATGATGGACAAAGTTCAAAAAACATTTTACTTTGCTCAGACAATAGTTCCATATTGAAGGCAATTTATATATATCGAGTTTAACAGACACGGTGATACTGATACGTTTAGATCAAAGGGGTTCGCATTTAATCACATTTATCGAGCCTTTGAGAGAGAGTGTATATATTGAGGCTTATAGAAGTTTATATATATTAGGCCTCATCTTCACAATGGTAAGGTATTACATGCAGATCGTAGATTATAGATTGATCAAGATGATCAGGCCTCCACTAGTGAAAGTTTATGCCTAATGCAAACCTACACCGCTTTTTAATTTTCCAATGATAGGCCTAATGAATTCATTCTTTCATTCATAAATCTGTAAATATTTATTTACTAATAAATAATATGTATCTTAATCACATATTATGTCAGTTTGACGACCATAAAGTCTGAAGTTATGACACTAAGGTGATTTATATATTTATATTCATTATCATAATCAAAGTTCATAGATTTCTGAATATTCAACGAGAGGAGAAAATCAGAAGCTGTCAATAACTGGACATATTAGCAACATTAAGATAGCTTGACAGGCAAGCTAATATACGCCCACAATGTGAAATGTTTTGGGAGGGGAAATGTTTGACACGATTTCCTTCAAACTCAAAAACTGTTCGTTAAAGAAATCGTAAACTCACCCTTGGTTTTATCTATAAAGGTATTATTATAGTCTCAGAGTCATAACAAAAACTGTATAATTTCTGGTCGAAGACAATGACGCCAAAATCAAATTACCACACCAAAATCAGACGAAACTATAGTCTCTATTGTGTTCACAAGAAATACCCGAAGGACCTATATGCTTAGAGAAGCAACGAAGTGCCTTGGAAGATATAGACCGCTTTACGTGCTGTTAGGGGTTATATCTAACTTAAAGGGATTGTAAAGAGGTTTTCTAAATTTGTTATATGTATCCGGGACACTGCAGATAGAATCAATTTGCACCATTCCAATTTCCTATCAGACTTCTGTAGTTCCTGCAATTCCACTCAAACTGAGTATTTGATGACGTTAATTATCGCGAAGGGCCTTATGTGACAAGTATATTTCGCGATTAGTGACGTCACCAAACATTGATATTTTGTGGAATTGCAGGAACCACAGACGTCTGGATCAATTTGAATGGTTCAAATTGTTACTATCAGTGTCCCCGATACACATAATTTTTTTACAAGACCCTTTACAATCCCTTTAAGTCGTATCAATTTACCGAATGAAAATATTTCATCTCGGATTATCTATTCAAACTGTCCGAGATTAACCTTAAAATACCTAACCATCAATAATAGTCATTAGGGTATATAATTCGTAAAACATTATTTTATACTACCACACTAATTCTTATTTCAAAATTATCTCTATATTGTCTTTAGGACCACTCTTATCTTATCTGAAAGCGGTCAGTTGGGGTCCGATTATCGTCTACATAAGCGAAAAGATACATTGCTTTCAAGAAACGACCATATTATTATGACACAAACAAATCTTTCTAGAGGCTATCAGCATCATTAAAATTTTACCAAAAGTTTACAATGAATTACGCTTTCGAAACAATTTCGTCAAGGGCAATAACTCATATAACTTATAAACATATAAGCAACGCCAATATATAGTCCACTTATATAATGAGAGAGTATAGCAATAATGTTAAAAATAATATCTTCGTATCAAAGGGTTAATTAAAATAACCAGTTATGAAATTGGTCATCATAATAAAACCGTTACCACAGATGTATAATGATACAAAAAAATCTGAATAAAACGTGTGTATATGTTGATCTATTTTTCATAGGACATCACTGGTATGTGAGCTACAGCTATGAAAACTATGTCAAAAAATGTTATAACTCTTTACTTTGAAAAATATGAATGGGTCTCAGTACAGTTTGGGCTAAGAAATTACCTTGAAGCATGAATGTTATTTTCAGGGTAAAAAAAAATAATCTAAATGTAATCTGTCGAAAAAGCAGAAAATCGTTGGATTTCTTAAAACTTTAATGTCATAGAGTTAAAAGTTCATAAGAAACTGAGTTAAGGTCACAGTAATAAGTAGTGGATTAAAAATGAAAATGATCTATATGAAGCCTACTTCATTCGTCCCAGCATCCGTATTACTTTTCAGAATCATTTAATGTACCGTTTAGCTGAAACCGACATTAAGTTTTCGATATTACCAATATTATTACGTCATTTCCAATTCTGAAAAGGGTTACAGATAGCCGATATTGAGCTATATCGGAAAGTAAACGACTACACGTACATGTTTGTTTATCCCTCCAATATTTTATGACAGATACAGAAATGGTAGATACGGTGTTCTAAGTCTAGACATTGAGATTTAAAAGAATGGTCAAAATATGTTAAAATGATTGATTTTATGACTATAAATACACTCTGAATTCTTTCATTTTGAATATCAAATCGGGGTTACTGATAGCATCAACTTGCGCCATCCCAAATTTCAACCAGGCGACTGTGTTTCCTAAAACTAAGCGTTTGATGACGTCACTAATCACAAAATATGCTAATTGAAGTGTAACTCTTTACAATCCCAGTAAAGGCTAAAGTAGTCGCAGAACTTGATGGAATCGGTGCTAGATGTGCCTCAAAAAGTGTAAGCAATATTAATCAAGTGAAATAAAAGACGGGCCTACCTGAAGTGTTGATCATTGTTGAAATAATTCAACTTGAATGATCGGTTGTTGAGCTGATTTCACTGATTTAGTCTTTAATCTGACAAATAAATAACAAAAGATCTTCTTTATATCACACTAGTTAAGTCTTAAGGCTGAGTTATAACACGCGATGGTCACCCTTTTCTATATACTCCAATATAGCAACGAATCATAGCCTGCAGACGTCAGTCAACGTTACTCTTCTCGCTCCTGGCTTCAGGCTAAATGCCATGTAAAAAGAAAAGAAATATCATCATTAATATGTAGTCCTCTACTGTCTCATGTTTGTATTAATATATTTTATTTGTATTACTAGATATAAATTTGTTTTATAAATGTTTTTAGTTTTTTTTCGGTCATTACTTTTTTACATATAAACAAAAAATACCTTTTAGTTTACATAATTATGTCTATATCACTCTACAATTGATGTATGGAGCAATATTTCAAGAATGAAAATATTTTCTTATTGTAAATTTATTCTACGAGTATTAAAAGAGGTAAAGCTACCACTGTTCTGAAAAGGTCTGTCTCATTGCACACGGCATGGTTTTTCCAGTTATTAGCATAACTTTCCATTTTGTTTCATTTTATTGACCACTTTTTGGAATCAAATCCAATGCAGACCGATATACCCTTTTAATTCTCAAATTGCGACAAATAATCTACAGTATTCCGTTTCATTTATTTCCTGTGTGTTACTTCTATCTCATAACACTCTCACTTGAGCTCTATAGATTTTCAGTTCATGTAATGTTCATCTTCACAATTTCGAAACGAAATTCGTACTTATACCTTGATTGCAATAGCCATCATTTTGCAACTGATAGGGTTCTAAACGCAACTCAACACCATTCAATGTACAACGAGCGAAATTTTGCCAGAACAGAGGCTTCCGCCCACTCTGTTTCGATTTCTAATTGTCGAGTTGAATTTTAATATACTTGTTTCACGATACATTCTTTTCGTAAATCTACAGTTGGGTGTTTAAAAATTTGTTGACATTCTTCATTGTCATAATTTATTTCATATCGAAATGTGCACCTGATTGTTTTGTACAACGATTCAAAAAGCTCAAATATTTTTCACAGTAAGCGTGGGCTATTAAAAACAAAAACGACAACACATTATTTTCGAATGGCTTTGGATTTCATTCTACAATGTATTTTTTGCAGTTGGAGGGGGACAACTTATTTTAAAAAGTGCATGATTTGAAACTGATTAAAAAGGAATGAAAACTTCAATAAATAATGGTATACATCACTGATCATAACAAATTCAAGTGAACACCCAAGACTTGAGTGAATGGCGTCGTATATCATGTATTATAACGTTAGGCCTATATACACGTTTCAAAATATACATGGGAAAGAATCTATATTTACCTAAGATGAATATTTCACACAAACAAAATCCGACTTTTCACTTTAAAACTTGTA